TGCATCATCCCTAGTCGTGCTTTGAACCGTGCAAACTAGCCTGCAATTAGGCATAATGAGGATAGTATATCGGGGTTTCAGCTGATCATACCTAATATGCATGTTTCAATACCTGTTTCATGTATATTCGCCACTTATATAGATAGATCGTTTTATATAAGCATATCAAGTTTTAGTCAGTATCAGCTAGATCCTTGCACCCTCATGCCTTATTTCTATTTGATGTGTTTATATGGATCAATCTATTTAGAGTAAATTTATATAGATTTGTACTAGAGTATTAGCTAGTGCATTATCTCTCTTGCTCTAAACATTGTCACATCTATTATTTTCATAATATTGTCTTAAACCAATTTATTAAACTTGATAGATGGTATTACAGCCGATTAGGCATGTTTAGAGCTTAATATTCTTTGATATACTCAATCCATAGCCGATTTGGTCTGACTCCATCGGCTAAGACCACCAACAATACTCTATTGGCATTTCGGCCGATCGGCTATCGGCTGACTGATTCTGCCCTTATTTTTTCTTGCTGATTGCAGGATCAAATCAGCTAGCACGCCCTGGACACACTCGAGGCTAGCCTTGGACCTGCACTGGAGTTAAGCAGATCTCCCAGGCCGCCGTGTTTCCACATCAATAGTTACGGATGTTCACCTCGTTGATTTCTCTTTAACAGCACTGGTTCGACACCACTCCGATGATACTCCCTGGTGGCTCTCCAAAGTGTATGAACCAAAGGAGGATGCGGAGAAACTTCGGTTCCTTGACGAGCTCTGGTCATTGTGCTCTTCTCGCATAGGACCGTGGGTCCTCGCATGCGATTTCAATTTAATTATTGAGGCTCAATACAAGAACAGGATGAACCTCAATTGGCGCATGATGAGCCGCTTCCATCTACTTATTGTTGAGTTGGGAGTCACCGCTCCACGGTCATCGTTTCATTTGGAGCAATGAGCGTGATTCCCCTACGCTCGTCAAGCTCGACTAAGTCTCCTTTTTTATCATCATTTCTTCTATCTCTCTTTCTCGTCTCTCGTCCCTCACGGGCGGCGGCAGGCTCGGCGGGCGACGGGCACGGGGCGGCCGACGACGGCTAACCCCGGCCGAGAGCGGCGGCGGGCAGCGGCAGCGCGGCCTCATGCTCCCCCGGCGGCGGGTTAGGGTTTGGAGTTCTTTTTTGTGAGGTTTTTTAGTGCAGGCAACATAAGCCACCCGCACGCGAGAAATAGACCCGCACGAAAAAAATCAGATTTTTGCAGACACTTCGGTGCAGATGGGCGGGAGATCCGCACACGAAAAAAAATAGAAGTAACTATTCACAGTATTAGAAGTAACTCTTTATAATACTAGTTGATACCCCGCGCATTGCTGCGGGATAGCTATATCGTGAATTTGGAAGATGTAATTCTAGAACTTTTGACTATTGGTATATTATCATTACACAGAAGGGAACAAATAGTTGTAAATTTATCAAAATTGCATGATCAACATGGTTGAACGTTCGATCTTTACATTATATTGCTATATGAATAGAAATGACATGATTCCAATTGAGATACTCCCAATTCGAAGAACCATGAACGGTAAGCAAAGAGGACACTATTTTTATTATGTACTAAATTGACTTAGCATCTCATTCAGATATTTTAAACAACTAATAAAATATTTCTTTTTGCGAGAAAACAAAGAGAAAATATGGATAAAGCTGCATGCATATGTTGGTATATGATCTTAAAAAAAACAACTATTGGGTGCATGAATCTAGTAATTTCAAGAAAAATGTTCACCTATAAGTAAATGGGAGGAACTACGGAGAAACAAATTTAGTGATTATCGGTATGAAAAGCACAAAGATATGGCATAGCCTTTTAATCAAATGTAGATAGTCAAATGTGAGAGTGGACCAATCCCTCAATACTTAAAGTTACCAAAAATTGAAGTTACCATAGTTGTGTTACATTAGCATATGAAGCTTGGTGATGAACGAAGAAATCAGATATAAAAAGAAGCAAGATCATGATAGAGTACCAAAAACCAATCACCAGAGGAGATAAACATCCTTGCAATTGGTAAAGATCATCGAATGTTGTAATCTGTACAAACAAATTTCTGATGTCATCTATGACAGTGACAAACCAAATTTCATTGGACCATTGACATTTCCTCCTTAGATGATTGAGGAAGCACGTTCAAGCATAAATATTCCAAGAAAATCCATTGGATCAACCTAGATATGGCTAGTAGATGCATTAGAAAAATTAAAAGGAATGAGAAAGAGGTACACACAAATATAGTGGTGTAGGCTTTCGGGTGGGAGATGTATTAGTGGTTAGTGATAAAGGAAGATATAATGATGCATGAGGTAATTAAGAGGAAGATAAAAAGCATTGGTCAAGCATTGGTCCTCTCAGATGCCATCGAATGACAAGAACTTGATCTAACGGTTGATTTGCATAGACGCGAGATGATCTAATGGTCAATATAATCTTGATGATGTGGCCTCATAGAATTTGAGCTTTATAGCATAAATGACTTGTAGTGGGTACCAACTATATAGGAAGAAAGGATTAGAAGTTGCTACATTCCTATAAGAAAGTAACTGAAAAAATGGAACTAGCATTTTATGGTGTTAGAAATAACTGCACTGGTAGAGAGAATTAACTCTTCATCATAGATTTTGAATTAACAACACTGCTACACAAGTAAATATTCTGAATATATTCAATATTGGACTCGTTTTGTCATATATTTTCAGTAGAGTACGTTGGTTTAATCAGATCTTAAAAACAATATATTGTTTAAAAGATATAAGCCATCAAAGGTTTTAAAATTACTAGTGGAATGATGCTCGGCTCTGTTAGCATGTTTACTGTTTACTAGTGCACACATCTTTTTTTTCAACGAAGCTACGTCTGAGGAAGACATGATGCTTTATTTTTGTAAGTACGTTTGCGTATAGCTGTTTAGGCCTGAAGCGTTACCACTTGTAGTCGCGTGTCCTTTTCCTTAACAACTTACAGCACTATATTGCGTGAGCAGTCGCGACTCGCGATCGATACTTATCTGTACCAATTAATATATATATCGTCGCGGTTGGTTGCCTTCCACGAAAATGCCTGGAAAACTACCGGAAGGTGATGAGAAAAACCTAATAAGGTTATGAATACGCGGTTTCTCCTCCTTTAAATCCGCCTGCTTCTCCCCTCGGAAGCTAATAATATATATATACTCCTATGTTGCAACATCACTTCAAACATTATTGATCTCTAGAGTAAGTATGCGCGCCCTTTCAGATTTGCTTTAAGTATTAGTACTACGTTGTGCTCGAACATGCAAGATCTCTTCCTTAATTAAGTCATTACATCCTAGCAGATTCTACGTCCATCGGGGCTTGAGAGGACGATTCATACATACCGGTTCAAATCTTCCAAGGTGGAGTACCTTGCATGCTTTCCCTCTTTCAATTTAAGTTGTCTCATCATCTTGCCCTAAAACGCTTTTTGAATCCGATGGTCTCTCACTTTTCAGTTGGGATCAAATAATTGTCGAATTGGATAATCCCATATGTTTTGGTCAGATTTTTTATTACCCTTTTAACTGATGAAGGGTTTTGTTAAAAGGTTCCGTTATGTAGGGGTTACATACATACTTTCCTTTCTTAATTTCATAGACTACAATCTTTTCTTAGCAACCACAAAATCTTTTCCATCAACTTTATTGACACTAGTTACACTTTATTGGCAACAGGATTAGGAGATAGAAAAGTGATTCAGTTTTTTTTCTATGCTGGTTTTCCATGCATGATGATTGGGTTTTTAGAGTTAGCGGTTTTTTTAGAGGAAAAAGGAGGATGAATGCATTAATTAGAAATCATGTCTTACTACTCATGTTTAAAGTAGATGTGGCATATAGATGAGTTAAATTTACATATATATCTCACTTTGATTACTTTCCATCCTTATTATTTTATGCTCCGCATGCAGACAAATGGCTTCAGACGACTACCGTCTCCAATTTACTTCCAACCTGGAGAGTCCCCTTTTCACCGGCTGTCAAATAAAACTGGAGGTTCGGATGATCAACTCCGATGGAAATGTGATCAAATCCGGTCCACTCTCTTCAGCAAAAATCGAGCTTTTGGTTCTACGGGACGATTTCGCTTGCGACGTCGTTGGTAACTGCACCACGGAGCAGTTGGACGAAAAGGAAGTGAAGACCCGAGATGGACATATTTCTGTATTGAAAGGAGTTGTTGCTCGCAGGCTTGTCGAGGGAACTTGCTCCTTCCCTGGAATCCAGTTTAGGGAAGGGAGCTTGAGAAGAACCTTCACCATTGCAGCAAGAGTTAATAGGAACGAGGCCACTGGAGGCCATCGGGTTCAAGAAGCATTCATGGGTCCTGTCGTTGTGCAAACAAACCGAAACAAGCGTAAGTTTTTTGAGAAATTTTACGATTATTGAGAAAGTATCTCTAGGTAAAAATTTTTGATGTGGAATATATTGATAATTATATATTAAATATTATAAAAATAATGGATAGATATGTTGATATATTGTGAAAATGATGTGAGCTGTGTTAATTGGATATACTTACATGTTGATTTGTAGAATTCAATAAATTATAAATAATGTTGCATGCTCGTATGAGATTTGATATGTAATTATTCCTAGTGAATAACGATGTGGCATGGTTTGCATGTTAAGTTTTAGATTCAGTGGGTTGTAACTTTATAGAAAGTATAGATCATGGGAACACCAATCTTAAAAGGTCACTGCGTAGCAAAAGATTCCACTGATCCACGTGTTATTATAAGTTTATAACTGGTGTTAAACACCTTTAATTCTTATTATAGTAGTATATATATCTTCAGCTACATATTTTTTTTCTTGCAGCAAATGCAAAAAGTAACGCCCCAAAATTCGATGATGAGATATATAGACTGAAGAAAATTGCAAAGAAAGGAATATACTACCCGAAGCTCCGATCATAGAACATCACGACTGTCGGGCATTTTCTAAGGGCTTACAACAAAAATCCTGAAGAGCTCAATGATGTAAATATCCCATTTTATGTTTCTCTGCATTCTTATATTATAGTCGGAATCTAATGCATCTACTCTTTTAAAGAAATGTTAGATCTACAACCTTTTCTACTTATATATATTGAAAAATTTTACAGTTTTTAAGAAAGTGCCTGCTGATACTAAGATTTTACGCTAAAAATTTTGGTATTAAGTTTTACACTAGAAAATATGATGCCTCTCAATACCTTCTCAAATATGATAAAATTATCCATATATATTACAAAGAGGACAAGTTTTCCTATGCGGAAGTATTTTTGTGCTGGTAGTATATAGACATCCTCACATAAAATTATTAATTAATATGATTAATATTAAACCATAATCAAAAAGTACCCCGTCTCCTTCAATATAGCTTTGCGAACAACTAAAATTCCATGCTTAATTAGAAAAAGAAAAAAAAACTTGTTTTCAGATAACCATGCGAATACCCTGTAGGTCCTATGTATATATTTTTGTCAATAGAGTAATTTATACACTTGTTAATTGTTATTCATTGGCATGAAGTTACTAGGTATAAAGGAAGATCATAAAGACTGGAAAACCATTATCGAGCATGCCAGGGAGTGTGATCTCAAAGAAAATCATTACCTGAAAGCATACAAGGTTGTAGGTAACCAAATTAATGATGTGATCTTCTTCAATTGCGTACATGATATTGTGGGAGCAGAATTTAATGGCAAGTACACTGCAAAGGAGAATTTCAATCGATATCAAAAGGTTTATGTTAAACTCTAAATCTTACCCTACAGTTGCTCTGGCTACAATTGCGGTTAACTCTGTCCTGATGTTATTTGGTTGCAGGCCATAGTAGATAGTCAGAGAAAGGAAGCATACAATGCATTAGAGAGCATTCCATTTGACTACATAATGAATGAAAATGGCGCCCCTACTAAAATTTCCCCTAATAGAAATGTTTCTGAAGACCTATCTTTGTCAATGCAAGACGCAGCACCACCGCCAAATCCTTCTAATCACAATGCAGCATATCAAGGTCACAAAGTGTTTTATCATAGCTTTTTTCTTCTATTTACATCTTAAAATAGTTTTGACATTTACAATTTTTTTGTAACAGTCAATAATTTTATCCCCGGGCTTACTCACGTCTCTCAAACATGTCCTTCACTTGAAAACTGCAACACTGCTGCACGTATTCCAGTTCCAGGAGGTGGCGGATCAAATCCTTTGCTTGCTGACTCTGAGAATGACCTATCTGTCAGTGATGGTAAGCTCTCCCATAAACTGCTCTTTATACCTGATTTCTTGACGGGATAAACCCAAAAAGTTTATAGAAGTCACTCTCTTAATTTATCGCTTAACTCATATTATATAACTATAAGCCTAATATTTTTGAGAATACAGGTGTTCATGGGGAACCATTTGTACCAATGCAAGAAGCAGAACAACCACCAAATCATTCTGATTACAATGCAGCGCATCAACAAGGTCACAGAATGTTTTATCGTATCTTTTCTCTTCATTATCTACGTCTTGCAATAGTTTGACTTTTACAATGCATTCATCCCCCATCCTATATAATATTTCTAAAGAAATTTTACGGTACTTTCTACTTGAGAAAGTACCTAAAAATTTTGTTACCTGTACCAAGATTTACATACCTTCTCAAAGATAGTTAAATTACCCATGTTACTATGTACAGCACCCACAAGCAGTCAAGAACCACTTCCACTTGCTGCTGCGCCAAACACTAGGGAGCTGAATTTCTCAATGCCACTGAAATTTTACTGTTCTTTTGTTTGCTACTCATCATTCCATTAAAATCAGTGGCAAATAATAAATGACTGTGTGAATTTATCAAGCAGAGGATGATAAAAGAGAAGATATGTATGACGCCCCACGATAATTAGAGAAAAGAAAAGGAGAAGAAGATAAAAGCTGCTGAGTTAGTGGGCTTGTGCTGCTTTGGTGGGCCAACCTAGCTAGCGTGCAGGCAGCAAGGAAAAAGTCCAATTTGACTCCCTTAAATATAGGCAAAATCTAATTCGTACCCCTCAACTGGAAAACCGGGTAGAACGACTCCCCTAACTATTGTAACCGGTGCAATTTGACTCCCTCGGCGGTTTCGGGGGCGGTTTTGCTGACGTGGCGATGTTGACCCGGTTTTCGTCCCACGTGGCGCTTATGTGGCATTAGAATTAAAAAATATATGTGGGTCCCATCTGTCATTAAAAAAATTTATATTGTGGGACCCACTGACATGTGGGGCCCACATGTCATCCTCTCTTCTCTACCTTCTTCATCCTCCCCCTCTCTTTCTCTTCACGAGAGTGGGACGAGGGCCAGCGGCAGCGGCGGCGGTGGGCGGGAGCCGGCGGCGGCGGCGGCGGCGGGAGGACGGGCGGGCGAGGGCCGGAGCCAAGCCACTGCGCCGTCGACTTCGCATCGTCCTCCTCTCCGTTTCCCCTCAAAAATCCCGGAGAATGGCGCACCGAGGAGGGAGATCGACTTCGTCTTCTCCAACTCCGGCCGCCGGCGTAAATCTTCGATTCCCGCCGCTCCAGTGAGTCTCGCGTCAATTCCTTGCGCATGAACCACCCTAGGGACCTCACTAATAACATCAGAGCACATACATGTTTATTAGATCGGTGGATCAAGCCGTCGCCATTCACCCCGGAGGTTCTTGCCGCCGCCAAGCACGATTCCAGCGACGAGATGGCGATGGCGCGATGGAGACCGGCCCGCCGTCACTGCCAACCCGACCCCCGTTCGTCGCTGCCGCCAACCCGACCCCCGTCCGTCGCCGCCGCCAATGCCTATGTGGCCCCTGCTCCTGTGAAGACAAACGGGGGAGAAAGAGATGAGGGAGAGAGAGGGAGGAGGAAGAGCTGGCCCCGCCGCCGTCCACTCCCTCGACCGCCGCCGCCGCCCTAGTGTCGCCTGCCTGCCTGCCGCCGCTTGTCTAGCTCCCGTCCCTGCAAACCGATGAAGGGAAGAGATAGAGAGAGATGATGACATGTGGGCCCCACATGTCAGTGGGTCCCACAATATATTTTTTTTTCTGTGAATGACAGATGGGTCCCACATATATTGGTTTAATTCGAATGCCACGTGGGACGAAGACTGGGTCAATTTCGCCACGTCAGCGCCACGTCAGCAAAACCGCTATCCGAAACCGCCGAGGGAGTCAAATTGCACCGGTTACAATAGTTGGGGGAGTCGTCCTACCCGGTTTTCCAGTTGAGGGGTACGAATTAGATTTTACCTATATTTAAGGGAGTCAAAGTGGACTTTTTCCCAGGCAGCAAACATCAATTGCAGCAGCAGGAGCAGTAGTGGTGCAGCAGCGGGCATTGGGCCTTGGCCCATTTCGCGAGCAGCAGCAGATCGGCAACAGCCAGCAGCAGAAGTATATTGTGGCAAAGTTTAGTACCACCTCGGTGGTTTGAGGCGAGGAGTAATTTATAACGGTGAATGCCCGATCACTAGTACATCAGATCAATTTTTTTGACGAAAACAAAAAGAGTGTTGCAGTATAGGCATATATATGGTCCAAGATTTGATAATAAAATCTTACAGTAAGTTGGCTACAGAATTAGAAAGAACTTATAGGGTACGGTGCATTTTTGGCGGCAAATGGTCCTGTAGAGTGGTAATGAACAAAGATACTAATTGAGAGGTAAACGATAATTTATAAAGTACGTGCAAATTCTTGAGCATTGACTCATAGCCATAGGGAAGGGACAGAGAGTGACTGGAGTTTTTGTTTGTTGTTTTCATTTCAGGATTGTGTATGGAAGATTCTTGGATTTCAGATAGCAACTTGCCTTTGTTAAGTAAAATTTGTCCTCTTTGTAATAGCTAATAAGTAGTCCTAGTAATTAGTTGTTTTCAGTAACTGAGAATTAATTTAGTTATTTCGGTCTATATCTTAATTAGCATCCAGTATGCTTCAAGTTCAATTTATATCGCCCGACTCATTTGCGTTTAAATATTTTTTTATGCATCAATAATATCTCCACGTAATCTTAAATTCAACATGATTTAGTAAGTGTAGCCTGCTGAGCCCAAGGTTGGCGCACCAGCACAGCTTACGCCGACGTCATTTTACGCAGGGAATTTCTAATAAAGCGGCGATGGCTTCGTCAGATTGGGAGATGAATCCACATGTACTTCATCCACACATGGACATGCCTTTTGTAATGGATAATGGCATATCTTTTGAAGAAGGTTGGAATATGTATGAAGCATCAACTTCTAGCCAAGACTGGTGCCCTGATGAAATTTACTTACTACCCTTGCCCCTAAAGAAGACTGGTCACGGTCATGGCCCGGCAAAAAGGAACACTGGTCACAAGCCGGTAGACGCGGACGAGTTCTAATTATGAATATAAGTTAGCAACGACTTCCTTAATCCAGTAAAATGGTGCAGTATAAGTTAGCTGTTTATGACAAACTGCCCCAATACAGAACTTTTGAGAAAAGGTCTGGAGGTCTTCAGGCTAGCACCAGAGATCAGCTAGCCAGCTCAAGTTCAAGCCTCGTTTTTCTCAACAAATTCCGATATGAGAACCCCTACTTTCATGTTCAGTGTTTTTTCAATACATAACTCCTAATATTTGTGCCATAAGTACATAATTAAGCTGGTAATGCATTCTGTTGTGTATAATTAATTGTTCATATACTTGGTGTGCTTTCTCCACGATTTGCGGTGGAGCTCGATGGCAATGTTGACGATATATATATAGGACACCAAACAAATTTAATATATATATATATATATATATATATATATATATATATATATATATATGTGGAACCAGACATTCTACATGTTTCCATAATTCCATTCTCCAACTATTATCATCTTTTGTTTACCTGTGTATGTCATTTTTTATAATAAAAAAATCGGTGTACTAGCTGGGGCTGTGCTAGTGGCTATTGGCCCCATCGTTTGGCTTTTTCCCCAATAAATCAAAACATAAATTATTAGGGAATAAAAATAAATTTGTAGATAAAACTTTTATATATGTGTTCTTGGTGAATTAAAAGCTAATATTGAAAAAGAAACTACGTTAAAAATATCACAAAATCAATTTCAAAACTAAGTTTGAAAATTTAAAATTTGCCTTTTTTTAGCTGATTAGGCCATCCGATGAGAGCCTATGTTGTTCATATGTCGTCGTAGCCGATGTCGAATATATATGAGGCCGCCGGTGGCCGGCCGCCATGACGCAGGAGGTACCACGGTCGGCGTGATCTTCGCCTCGAACTCCGTGCAGGCGGCGGCGCCGACGCTGAGAACCCTCCCGCCGGCATCTGGGCCGCGCCTCCATTCTCCCGCGCAAGCTCGCTCCGGCGAACTCTGTGTTCCTCACTAGCAGAGAAAACAAAGCAGGAGATCGGAGATAGAGGAGCACACACTGAATCACACGACAGGTGGACGTTTCAAACAAATCCGAGCGTCACGATGAGGCCACGTCGCAACGGAGGCCAGAGGGATCGCGTTATGGGCCCCACCACCGGGTCGACTTGGCTCCAGTGTGGGGGCCCAGTTGTGTGACGCCGACAACTAGGCCCAAACAAAGGATGCGGCCCACCATTAGGTTCAAAATCGATTTTGTCATCTTAGCCAAAACAAAGGCTCGGAGGGCCTGTTTGGATAGGTGCCACAGTTTGCCGCGCCTCAAGTTCGGCGTGCCACAGGTAGTTAGCATATGTTTGTTTGCTTACCACACATTAGCCTGCCACAAGAAATTAGGTGCTCATGAACTACTTTGCCACAAATTTCTTAGCCTAAGTTGTGGCTCTCAAATCATTCGCCAAACTTGTGGCACGAGCTAGCTTGTGGCTTGGCAAGTTGGAGTAGTCATCCAAACAAGCCCTGAATCTCTGATATGGTGCTCTAATTCTGAATATCAGTTTGGTTTTTATATGTTAGTAAAAAAAATATAAATATGAATGCATAGAATTATGAAATAGTTATTTTTTTTGTTGGAAACCTAACTTTGAGATGATCAAATTCAAATACGGCTAAACCCAACGCACAACAATTATTATGCTTATAAGCCCAAATTTGAATCAAGAGTTGGTTTTGTGGTTCTTTTATCATTATTTATTTTACATAATTTATTTTTGAATTGCTATGGATACGCATATAAAAGTTTACCCACAAATCATTTTTTTTTTGTTGCTAATAAGCCACTCAAGATTTGAAGTACACTTTAGTTGGTTTCCAAGAGACGAAGTTTTGTTGGGTCCGTCGAACGGCGAACACGGTAGCACACATGCTAGCGCAGGAGGGTGTTTCTTCTAGTTGCTTTATAACCTGGGTTTCTATTCCTCCGAGTTTTCTCCTTATAGAGAAAATCTAAGAAATTCTATAGACAAGCACTCAATTCCAAAAAGAAATTCCATCGACGAGTACGAGTTCCATGAATGCCATTGTGCAAGACTTTATCCCAGAAATATCATCGCTACTAGGGTTTTGTTAATAGCCCTCCATTAAGTGCTATAGGATAAACAATGTATATACATTAACGACGCGAGATGGATAGAACTCTAATGACGATGTTATTTCTAGAACCAAATCGCTTGTACAATAGCATTTTATGGAACTTGCACTTCATCGATGATATTTCTTGGATTTGGGTGTTTGTCAATAGTATTTCTTAGATTTTTCTCCTTATGTTACTTTTCCTTGATATTTGTAGTGGAAAAAATCCGTTTACTTAAAAAAAAGATAAGTATAAGTATAAATGAAATGATGGGGCCACGTCCAGTGATTCAGGAGATGGTGATGGAGGCAAGGCAGCCATGTGTAGAAAAGAACGGAAGAAATACTTTGTAATATGCTTACAGTTGCTTAAAAAGTTCCAGCGATGACTAACAATTTAATTTATGAAACCATTGTCAGAAAATTACAGTTCAAGGTGTATATATAAATATGCTAATACACCCGCTGCTCATTAGGGTAAATAACAGGGAGAAGATAAATAGCCAGCAAGCGTACTGGCTAGAAACAGATCCTTCAGACTTCAGTAAAAACGGTCCTGGATATGCAGAGCGACGAGACTTCAGTAAAAACGGTCCTAGAGTTGTGAGCATGCGCCCCTGTTCTGGTTCAGTTAAATGATGTACTGATAAGGATCAATGTCGTTGTCAATCAGTTCTGCAATATTGCTGCCATCGCTGCCATTCTGTGACATATTCATCAGTCCGATCAAGGCATTGCCTCCAGAAGAAGTACCCTACAAAAAAAGAAGACTCGTTAGCATGCAATGAGTGTGGGCGTGATAGGAGAAAGATGCAGAAATGCAGTGATCTCAATAATAAGAGACAGACACAGTCTATCACGAATAGATTGATACTGATGGACCCTTGGCGATGCAACTGTTTTCTTCTCTATTCAATGAAAATGGCACGATCTCGTACCGGTTCGTTAAAAAAATAATAATACTTAGAGACAGACTCATATTCATGGGTATGCCTTACATATGTTCAAGCTGTAGACCTTATTGGCATCAGGAAAAATAACTTATAACTTATATTGGGATGAAAAAGCTAGCAATTGGATGATTTCAGGAGTTATGTTCAACTAGTAGCATGACAAATCGACAATAATTTCATCTCTGTTCCAGTAAGAATGTTACAGTTGGCTGTGTATGTCTGGTTTCGATGTAGAGGCTGGCTTTTAATCCATTTTCTAGAAAGTGAGGATGTTACATACTGAGTGGATTGAACAGAAACAACACTTACTTCAGATGTCTGACCAATATAGCACCCAATAGGGATGTCAACTTCAGAAAATCCACCGTAGATCTGAGCCACAGCACCTGCTCGATAACCTTCATCTGAAATTTTTTTACAGACCTCATCATTATCAAAACAAAAATATTCTTCAAATAAATCCTGCAGTATTCTTCTGTTGGAATTAATTCTACCATACTTGGTTCTATCTCACAGGCACTATTATAGTTCAGTAATGCTTGAAGCAGTTCAGGTTCTTGATAAATCTCAGCATGATGAGAATTCCCAACTGCTGCAGCACCAAACAGTAAATCATCACGCGTTATGTCTGAGATCAAAGACAAGAGAAGAAGACCATTGACCTACCTTGAGATGTAACATGGAGATCTGGATAATTTGTTCCTGCTCTGTCTGTTAAGGGAATGGAAGCATCACCATCAGTAATGCTTGTGTTCATAGCTGAAGACAAAGATACTGGATAGTTGTCTTTCATTTTGTCATCGAAGGCAATGTCATCCAGAGCATCATACGCTTGTTTTTTCAAACAATTCACGGCATCCTGAAATAGAAATTGCACGTACTGTTCTGAGTTCACACGTCAAAGTTTGGATCGGTAGAAGAATGCAGATACCAATGTATACCTGCTGATCTGAATTGAAATTGTCCTTTGTAACATAGCCATCATGAAATTGTGCTCCAACGAGATCATGTACGCAGTTAAAGAAGAGTACAACATGTTTCTCTTCAACTCTATATGATTTCAGGTTGCAATTGCCTTCGAGATCACACTTTCTAGCATGTTTAACTGTTTCTTTCCAATCCTTGCTGTTCTTCTCTAGCTTGAAGCACTCCTGAACGTCAAGAAATGTATAAGATAATTTCATTTTGTCAAAACGAATATTTACTGCATGATAAACATATCATTTTAGAATTGGAGTTGAGACATTAATTTACTTATGTTTCTACTATTTCATGACATTGAAAGGTAAATTGCTTGCTGTCCTGATATACAAAGAAAGGTTCTAATTTGCATAAACACGCAAAGCAATGCTAATTTCTAAGGGCCTAATTTTTGTGTGCTTGAGAAATAGAATGATTGGGGAATCCCAGAGGCCTTACAGTGCGAATCTTCTTTTCGTTCTTATTTAAAGCCTTTAACATATCCTCCACAGTGTTGATCCCATTATGTTTAAGCCAATCGAAGCGAGTTCCCTTTTTTGAAATTCCCTTTAAACGGTATACATCATCTTTCAATTTTGGAGTGTCACTATTTATATTTGCTGGAAAAAGGAAACAGGAGAGAAAATGTCAATAGATCATACAATGCCGATTATGCGATCTCTTTAATTTCAAAGATAACCCTATGAAAGAAGAGTTTTTCTACAGTCACTGACTGAGAGGTTCAGAATTGCATAATAGCACACGCATCAAAACAAACTACAGAACAGCAAGATGCAATTCTGAAGGATATACCTTTGTTTCGGTAAACCTGCACCTCAACAGGATTCATCAAGGCTTCCATAATCCGGAACCCGGCTTTGTCACTGCTATGAACTCTTGCTGCCAGAATGAACATTCCGCTTCTACTCTTTGAAGATGGTACAACGAAAGAGATGCCAGAAGGAGAGGCCTCCCCATTCTTCAGCTTGATTTGACAAACTCCTCCTAACACAGGCCCTTTTGGGGATCTTGCTATGTTCTGATTGAACATATACTCGGTCCAATTTTCAGGGGCAACATCATTAAAGTCACCTTCAAGAGCCACAAATTCAATTCTTGCAGAAGAAAGTGGACCGGATTTAACTATCTGGTTATCCTTAAATAAGGCAATTTGGATAACCGTGCCATCCTCTGCTGTAATTTTTTCCTGTGTATAATAAAGACGAGGCTTCAACTTATTGAGGAATCTCAACTCAACAGCTTCCCCATAATGAGCAAATCCAGCAGCATCTTGATTTGCTTCTGATCTACAGTACAGACACAAGCACAGTACTTTTTAGTGTGAAACACCAATGTCATCCGAAATGTATGGTATTACTTCAAATTGTCTGAAGTTTACAACTACAATACTACCAGAACAGGGAATGAACATGGCAAAATAGTTTAAAGAAACTACATAAATAGATAGCGTCATCAATATATAGTACTGAGTTTTTTTTTGAACGAATCTATTTTTTCATTAAGTATATTCCAAAGGATAATGTTTTTTTAACGAACATATATGGTACTATAGTAGATCACTGAAGTGATTAGTATGGATTAATTGTTATTTGTTAAACCGCGTCACTCACAAGAAAGGAAAAAAATGTTAACCCATGATTTGATTCCTACTTAACAAAATTATTGAATAGTTTTCTCTTTCAATGCACTCATATATGAAAAACTTATATTTTAATTATTAATTCATAATATTTAATTATGGAATGTACATATATATTCACATTTATTGTTCTTTAATTATGGAGTATTAAATTTTGGCATAAGTAATTTAATTTTATTAGACAGTTCCAAATTTTGAAAAAAAAAAGAATTACCGATACTTTAAATGCTTTAGTTCATTTACTTGATAATTCTATAATTTAGAATTAATAATGCACGACTGATAGGAATCATTTATGCATAGTTGCAAATATGACATACCTGTAATGCTCATTGGCATGATGGTTAGGGTTTGATTGTTTGATCTGTCCCTACAAATTAAAAGGAAAATTATTATAAGCTAGGACATTTGTCTGTCTCGAGCAAACCCTAAGAAATTGCAGTTTATGTACAAACTTGTTTGTTGATAAAAATCAATAATGAGGTGAAATGTGTTATTTTTAATGAGGTACGGAGTAGTTATTTTTAATAGAGTGAAATGTGTTAGATCCAATACCACTTCATGAGTCAGAGTATCAATTCGTTCGGTAAGGGATTCAAGGGATCTGCAACCAAAGAAGTGAAGGAGAAAAAGGGTTAGTATATTTGAATCATAATTGTTCTAAAAATCACCCTAGCTTTGATTGACATATCTTACCGATGAATTGGATTAAGATGCTTCTGAAGGGCATTATCAAATGCTTGGAGCACCTTTTCCTGGGAAATAATATTCTCTTTGCGTACCTTAACAAGCACAGAACAGACAAATTACCTAAAGGAAGAAAATAGAGAAAAATAAACAAATCCTCCAGCTATACTAGTTTTACAGTGTTTAGTAAAAAAGAAAACATATAGTAGCTTTACAATTAACCTGTTTGCTATCCTCCCTCTATTAATAAATTAATCTGAGCAAACATCCATGTTAATCAATTGGAAAAAAATTGAATGCATATGGCCATCTCTAGATGACACCGAATTATAATACTAGCTCAGATTAAGAGAGAGTTCACATCAGTTGCAACTTTGCACTTCTTAATTGATTTTTTAGACTTGTTAGTTTACAAAATAGTTCCAAAAAAATCTGCAAAATACTAAACTTGAGTCAAAGCAAGTACAACTTCACAATTAATGATTCACTCCAATTTCATTATTATAGTATTATAAAATTAAAATTCAGATTCCAAGCAAATTAAGTACAACTTTATATTTAATTATGAAAATACTGAACAATTAAAACAAGTCTAATGAAAAACATGTGAGGATGGATTATGTATGTGACTTTAGAAGCCAAGTACATATTTATAATACATGTTTTAAAAATGTTTAATTAATTAATATTCAGTTCTAACTTAGAGGTAAATGACTACTAGTAGTATATTGCACATATATAACTCAGCACGACGTACAACCCAATTACCCAAATTTGTCGGAAGAGAAAAAAAAATAAACTAATTAATTAGCGGTACAGAGCAGATTAGCCATCGAACCTGCAGATTTTGTTGGGAGATTCTTACCTAGCAAAAGAATAAATGTTTAAGAGATCCTTAATTAATTAGGACATGCATAGAAACCAATTAATTTTGTGTACGAGAACTTGATGAAAGTACGTACTCCCTCCGTTTCAAAATGTTTGACACCGTTGACTTTTTAGCACATGTTTGACCGTTCGTTTTATTCAAAAACTTTTATGAAATATGTAAAATTATATACCTACATAAAAATATATTTAACAATGAATCAAATGATAGAAAAGGAATTAATAATTACTTAAATTTTTTGAATAAGACGAACGGTCAAATATGTGATAAAAAGTCAACGGCGTCAAACATTTCGAAACGGAGGGAGTAGTAGATTGACTCGACTGTGCCCGTCTGATCAAATGGAGGAAGAAAAACACTATATATGATCCGGCCCTAATGTGTTGTAGCGCCCGTTCCGTCGTGGCGCCTAGCGGGAAAATTATCTCTTAAAAACCCTAATTGCGAAATTTGTTTCCTTGCTTGTTGTCTAGTGCCCGTGCCATCTCATGATCTCAATCCCCGATCTATCGTCGAGTTCATCTCCGAATCCAATTCCTTCCAAATCAAAATCCCTCCGCAAAGTCTAGTTTACCTCCCCCAAGGTCGATGGGCCAAAACTCGCTCGGCCCATCTCCCTCTCCCTCCCCGGCCCACTCTCCCGAGAGCTCTCTCTCTCTCTCTCTCTCTCTCTCTCTCCCCCGGCGCGCTCTCCCCCCCCCCCCCGCTCAGCCTCGCCCGCACGCTGCTCGCGCGCCGCCCCGAGCGCCCCCCCCCTCGCTCTCCGTCTCCCCATCCCTCGCTGCCGCTCCCCGCGGGCCGTTGCTCGCGCGCGCCCGCGTGGATGCCGCCCGGTCCCGCTGCCCTGCCGCCTGCAGCCTGCAGCCGCTCGGCCCCGCAGCCAGCGCGCGTGCCGAGCCGCGCCGCACCATCCGCCGCGCCTTCCCGTTGCGAGCCGCGCGCGCGTGGCCGACCGCCCGGTCGCCGCCGCCGTCAGCCTCTGCGCGCGCCTGTCGCCGGTGTCGCCGCTCCGCTCCAAGACGTTCCCCCCGTCATCGCCGTCGTCATCACCCGGCCCCGCCACTCCGCGCGCAAGCCGCCAAGGGACGGAGGCAGCGCCCCCTCCCTCTGCCGCGTCGCCCCGCTCCCCTCCTCCTTTTTCCCGAACCGGCAAAGGGGCAAGCCCCCTTTCTCCCCTCCTTTTTCCCCTTTACCTCTCCGCCGGCGTCATCCTCCCTGTCGCCAATTTGGCCGCTAGCCGAGCGCCAGCTCGCGCTCTTGACCGCGCAAGTCGGTTCCCCAAACCGACATTGCCGCCTCCTTAAACCCCCGGCCTCCCCTTCTCCTTCCCTCCCCATTTTCGCCTCCTCCACTGCCGTCTCTGTTTTCGCCGTCGCCGATCGTCGCCGCGCGTGTCGGAGGAGCCGGCACGAGCAAGGACGCCGAAGAGGACTCCGGCCGCGCCTCTTCTTCCTCTTCCCCGGCCCGAGGCCGGAGAGATCACTCCCGCGCCGTCGGCCTCTCGTCACAGCGCCTCTCCTTTCCGCGGTGATGTTTCGCTTCGTTCTCCCTCCTCGCTCCGTCTCCCCCCCTTAGACTTCGGTTTTAGCTCGAGTAGACCTCCCGTAGTTGGCCGGCGCCGCCCCGACCGATGCCGTTGCTCGCCATGTGCTCGCCGCCGTCGCCGCCCGAGTTCCGTAGCACCCGCACGTCGCCAGCCTCCCTCGGCGTGTTCCCTCCAAATCCGACGCTAGCATCGAGTTCCCGTGGCCGCATAGATGCTCCCACCGCCGGGAATCGGCCCCTCGTGACCTCGTCGCCGTTTCCCTCTCCTCCCGCCGCCGGTTGTCGCCGCCGCGATTCGCCGCCGTCAAGCTCCCTCCGGTGAATCCGAGCCGTTGGCTCGCCTCCCCGCGTCCCGTGCAACCACCCGGTGTACTCGCTGTCGCTTGTATCGCCGTGGCTCGCTCCGCCGATCGCCGCCGCCGCCCGCCGTCCGTTTCGGCCGGGCCTTCGTCTACCTTCCGCCGACCCGCGTGGCTGCCACGTAGGCGCCACGTCGGCGCCACCTCGGCCGCGACCAGATAAGCCGACCCGACCAGCCGCTCCCTCCGTTTCTCCCCGTGCGCGTGGTCCGCGGTAAGCCGTGAGGCTGCACGTGGGCCCGCCGCCTCCGCCCTCACCGCGAGCCGCGCGCATGCGCCGCGCCTCCCCTCCCCAAACCCTAGCACGCCGCGTGCACCCCGCTCACGGTGAGCCGAGCCGCCGACAAGCGGGTCCCACTCGGGACCGCGCGTGGTGAGCCCGGTCCACCGGCCCTCTCTCTCCTCCCTCCCGCGCGCGCGCGCGCTTGGGCCGCCTTGGGCCGGCCGGCCCATTTAGCTTGGCCGGTCCGCTCCATTTCCCTTGGGCCGCGCCCTAGCCGTCCGAGGAAAGTCTAGATTCCCTCCCTTCATCATTTCTTTTTCCTTTTTCCAAAAAAGGATTTAATTAAATCCTTTTTCCTTTAGACCAAAAATCCAATAATCTTAGAAATTCAATATCTTTCCAACCATAACTCCGCTTGACTCCGTTCAACTTCCAAAATTTCCCAAATCTCGAGATCTATCCAATGGCACGCTTAGAGGTCATTAATAGGGCTTTATTTTCGCCGTTTGTTGAGTTGTTCCGTTTCGCGTGTAGTTTCGGAGCCCGAAGACCCGCAGTGCGAGGATTTCGAGGATCAAGCTCCAGATCTCGAGCAAGGCAAGCCACCTTTGAACATCTTGAGCCTATATTTGAAATTTAATTATATTGCTTGCAAAATATTATGCATTGATAGGATCACACTTAATCTGTTGTCCCGTCTGCAAGGCAGATTGGCGGACCTACCTAACTTGTTGCAATTGATCATTCCGTTGAAAATTGCTACACCATGTCCCCTTGTAACCACCCAGATGCGCCTCGATAATCGTGCACTCTGTGCGAATATCGACGGTCGCCTTCAAACTTAAAATTTGAGTAACAACTTGGGTAAAACTGGAGTTTTACAAAAGACTTGGAAAACCCGACACTTGGGTCGGTGCTTGTGAACTAAATGAATTTCCAAAACCGCGGACCGGGGAACGTACCGGGTGTACGGTTTCCCGCTCTCGCACTTAAGGACCGATTCCTTGGAATTTCATCCAAACATAAGTCAAGTACGACCACATGGGTGGAATGGGACACCCCTGGCTGAGTAACTAGCTTATCAGGGGAGCCTTGATGCCGAGAGACATGTGGATTCGCCGGGGTGGTGTCGGGGAGGACCCCTGGGCTTCCTGGCACAGTATGGTCTGGGACCTAACCTGTTGTTGGTCTGGGACCCCTCTCGTCGGCATATGGTAAACCTGTGTCGGCTTTCGAAATGCCTTGTCATGAAAGCTTGGAGGTCTCCCGACGTGGCTGATCCCCACGGGCTGGATGATCCGGGTTAGTAATGTCATGTGGGTAAAGTGTACCCCCTCTGCAGAGGTTAACAAACTGTTCGAACAGCCGTGCCCACGGTCATGGGCGGATGTGAGGTGATTCCTAGCGTAGTTTTGTTTGACTACTGCTTGTGAAATTGCTGTTGAGAAACTGGGTTCGATGTTTGGAAAACCTGCAGCTGATGGGATCAGCTAGGCCCGGGTGGCCGTTTAAAAGTTGTTGGCCCGGGTGGCCGTTTGAAAGGTGTTGGCCCGGGTGGCCGTTTAAAAAGCTTTTGGCCGGGTGCCAACCTTGTTTCAAAATCTAAAGACTGATACATTGCACATACTCCGACCGGACGAGACGCACTGCCTCATCCGTGTCGTTTGAGAAGCACTCACTTAGTTGCTTTTAGAAAAGAGTTCAAATAAAACCAATCGCAAAAACAGACAGCCTTTCCTTGAAGCTTGCATTAAACACTTAATTCCCATGGCTTGCTGAGTACCCCCGTACTCACCCTTGCTCTATATAAATATCCCCCCCCCCAGTTGCTGAAGAAGATGAAGCAGATCCTGCTGATGAGGAGTTCTTCCAGGAGCAAGCCGGCTACGATGAGTTTTAGGGTTTCGGCCTAGTTCCCAAGTCGCGCCTGTGATTGTTTGGTCCAAGTCCTGGCTTCCGCTTTCCTTTTGTAATGCAGTTGTGAGCTCGGGATCTGTCCGCAGCCCAACATGACTGTACTTCTACTCTATAATAAAGAGACTTCTGTTGCTGTGATATTCTGTCTCCCTGTGATACCAGCACTGTTTCCTGGGACTGGTATCGATTAACAGGTTAGTTTGGAGCGTCACGGGTTAGTTCCGGTCGGGACTAGCTCGGGGCGTGACATGTGTGAACACATGATTTATTGTTTTCGCGAACGCGCAAAAGGATTGCACAGCAAGAAATTAAAGTTTCAATTACATGACATAACCGGCAGAATGGCCCTTACTAGGAGACAATGGAGAAAAAAAAAAGGAAAACCGAAAAAAAGGAAAGAAACTTTTACAACTAAGAAAAGGCTGCTCCTAAACAAAGGGAGGTTTGTGGTGTACTCCACTAGACTCCAACAGATCCCCAAACGTGGCGGCGCCCGCTGCCGACCACAGACGGCTCTCTTACAGGACGAATCCAAAATCACTAAGACCGAAAAAAGAGAGAAGTCGAAAACCCCAGAGTATTACTCCTTCCACAACTGTTAGGAAACCAGTAAAACCAGGGAGTCGTAACCTTTATGAAGATGATGCTCCGGCAAACAAACCATAGACGAAGGGCACCAAACTTGAAGAGAGCAGCCGTTGGAGGGGGCAAGGTTTGGTCAGCCAGAGGGGGAAAGGACATGGTGCCAGATCTGTAGGCGGGTAAACACGCAGTCGAGAAGAATGTGATTCACCGTTTCTTAGTTTCTGGGCGTAAAAAGGGCAAGCTAAGTGGCTGTCTATATCTCGCTTCTGTAGAAGAAGATTAGTCATGCAGCAACGCAAGCCAATGAAAAAGTTTACATTTCGCAGAGCCCCTGGCCTGCCAAAGTAGGTCGACGCAAGCAAAAGAGTGCTGGCCTACAAAGAAGGCCAGATAGGCCGAGCGAGCTGAGTATCCCCCGTGAGCGAGCATGCGGCTAGCATGAGCGCACGAGAGGGGGACGCCGCGGTGTGACGGATCCAGAGATATATTCAGAGATTTGTTAGCAGCTCACCACTCGACGAATGCGGCGGTTGGACTTCCCCTCGCTGCACATCAATAGCAAAGAACACGCATCAGATGATGAACAAAGCTTGTACCCTTCTTACTTAGAGAGAGAGAGAGAGATCGAGATCGGAGGCGTACACGAGGACGATGAAGTAGAGGGCAATGAAAGCTATGGGCACCCGAGGCAGCTGCCACTTCCCCGGAGTTGGAGTTGTCGGAGCAGCAGCTCCCTGGGGAAGATCGATGATCTCCAGGCGCCGCCTGTACGGTGGGGGAGGCACCACCACGACGGGGCCATGCGGCGGCGGCGGCGGTGGCGACTTACGCTTGGGGGGCATGTCGCCGGAGCTAGCTAGCTGTCCGTAATCCCTGTTTCTTAATTATCTCTCTCTAATCGATCTCTATATATCGTCGTCGTAGCCTCGACCTCGAGACGGACAGGTCAAGGCTAGCTTCCAGCTCAGTGTAATTAATCACTAGTTGATCATGGGTGTCCTGCACGGTTATATATATATACGGGAGTAGCTAGGTAGTTTAATTCTTGATACGCGTGTAAGCCGCGTGGCAGCGCGTTTAACGGTTTAACCGTGTCACGGTTGTTGTCGTTTCTGTGTCAGTCAACGGTCAACACTGATCACTAGCTAGCTAGGCTGTTAATCGTTCGATTACACTCTAGGGCATGTCTAGATCCCATGACAAAAGTTTTCACTATATCACATTAAATATTTGGATACATACATAGAGTATTAAATATAAACGAAAAAAATAACTAATTACACATATTGCGTGTAAATTACGAGACGAATCTTTTAAGTCTAATTGCGCCATGATTTAACAATGTGGTGCTACAGTAAACATTTGCTAATGACGGATTAATTAGGTTTAATAAATTTGTCTTGCAGTTTACAGTCGGAATCTATAATTTGTTTTGTTATTAGTCTATGTTTAATACTTCAAATGTGTGTCCGTATATCCGATGTGACACGTCAAAACTTTTGACCCCTGGATCTAAACACAACCCTAATTAATTTCAGTCCACTTTCGTCGATGGAGCTAAGAAAGTTCTAGAAAACATCAGGGAAACTACTCCCACATTAATAAAACTGGGCCAATTTCAGTACGTCCAATAATGAATCAGGATACAGAAGTTAGTACGAGACGACGTGAAAGTGAAACCGCGTTTTTGCAGTGGTCACACGATTGCCTGTGCAGCGCAGGTGATCTTGTTAATCTTCTCCTCCTCCTCTAATAATTAATCATCGATCTATCTACCACCACTAGCTAGGACTTTTGCGTGTTATTAATTGTTGGTATATTTTATCTGTCATGCATGCATGCACCTAGAGACAGGTTTTACAATTTTTCTAAGACATTTACTCTGAAGAAGTTACAGACAAGTTTAATTTGCAAATTACTATACGCGTCGGCTTCACCGGCTGGTGGTTAATTTGGTCGAATTTAACGAGCAGGAGTAGTCGTTGCAGCAGGGAGGCGCCTGGGGCTCCAATAAAACGATGCCACCTTGATGCATGGGCGAAGACAACTACTTCTTCCCTTTTCATATTATAAGACTTTATAGTATTGCTCATATTCATATACTCCCTCCGTTTTTTAATAGATGCGGCCGTTGATTTTTTTTTCCACATGTTTGACCATTCGTCTTATTCAAAAAATTTACGTAATTATAATTTATTTTATTATGAGTTGTTTTATCACTCATAGTACTTTAAGTGTGATTTATATCTTATACATTTGTATAAAATTTTTGAATAAGACGAATGATCAAACATGTGAGAAAAAGTCAACGGCGTCATCTATTATAAAACGGAGGGAGTACATGTTAATGAATTTAGACATATATATGTGTATAGATTCATTAACATTTATATAAATGTGGGTAATGTTATAAAGACTTATACGGTGAAACGAAAGTAGTAGTCAACAACTCCAGCAATATTGGCCCGATCGACCGAGGCCACCGCCCAGATCGGCGATGATGTGCAAAAGTAGGATCGGGGTACGTAAGAAAAAAATTAAACTCGTATTGTCTTTTTCTTTTTACTGTTGTGCATGTGATGGAGACATGGAGTCAACCTGTCCGTCAACCATTCTATACTCATCAGAATTGAATATACAGATTTTTTTTTCTCGGGTCGGCCGAAGGAAGGGCCTACTAATTTCATTAAGATTTAGTGTTGGAAAAACAAAGTACAAAAGGGGTTACATCGGCAAGAAAAATACCCAAGCTAGTGTGGAACGAGATAATGCTGTAGCTCAAATTAATCATTTCTCCAGGGATAATACTAGTGATGGTCTGATAGATACCAGTATATATACCACTGTAGAACAGTAGAGAAGCTGTGAAAAATAAACGGAAACATCTATTATGTGCGCAACTAGTACTAGATTTGACATTTTACATCTTTTTTTATTCTTTATGATGAAAAAATATAAGTAAAATTATTTCACTGTGAATCTGTGATAATGTGATGAATTAGAGCGTACATAAATACGAAGTCACTAAAACGTTGCGCTGCTAATCTGTGCATGTAAATATATATATTTATGAACATAAGACGCATACTATTTCACCTCGAAAAAAAAAGACGCATACTAAAATGTGTGTAGTAACACTGCACATACTATTATTATACTTATACAAGCTTAGACTAAACAGAGAGTGTAAAGTTTAGGCGACTGATGAAGAATAAATTTCAGAAATAAATAGCAAACAAAACCGAAAATGAATGGTCATACCTTGTCACCTGTCTTTTCAAACACATGATTTGCAGTAGATTTCGCCAAAAGGGGGCTCTAGACGGCCTTCTCCTAGAAAAACTCAGGAAAATTCAGGCAATTGTCTCGGCCGGTTGTAGCACTCTGGTCTTGCTTCCTTCATTTGGCCACCTTAATTTTATCTCATCTGAAGTACAGTATCAACTCCTCAAATTACGGAGAAAATTAATGCAACTTGTTATAACCGCGTCGCTTTGGTCCCTGCAGTATCAGAGCAGGTACAGTAGCAGGGTATAAACCGGCTATAACCATATATCGAGAAGAAAAGAGAAGAGAGAGAAGAAAGCGGGCTACAGATTTATAGCCGGCTGCAACACGGACTCCAAGATATTATGTGTGTATGAAAGGTGGGACCGGGTATTAATGGTGTAGTATATTTTTATAGTTAACTACTCCCTCTGTCCCAAAAAAAGGCAAACCCTGGGATTCCGTGTCCAACTTTGACTGTCCGTCCTATATGAAATTTTTTTATAATTCGTATTTTCATTGTTGTTAGATGGTAAAACATGATTAATATTTTATGCGTGACTTGTCTTTTTAATTTTTTTCATATTTTTTTTAAATAAGACGGACGGTCAAACATTGGGCACAGAAACCAGAGTTTACCTTTTTTTGGGACGGAGGGAGTATTGTATAAATGAGCTATTAGATTGGCTATAGATATTTTAGAGCCAGTAGTTGGCTGTACTATTGATCTTGCTCTCATGAAGCGTGTTACAGTGAGTTAATGAAGCTGCAGATGTATCAGAATATGTATGCAATCCCACGGATGCATGTGCGGTAGTAGGTCTCCCTTGATTTCTGTGCTTGACCTCTGAAGATGTGGCCCAACCAAGGTCAACGGTAGTTCTTGGTCCGGCCCAAATAAGGCAGTCGTCAACCAACTGGGCTAGTACATATCAAGGCCCATTATGCCAACTGCTACAGTCTCTTTTGATAATATCACTCAATGCAAGTCAACACAGTTCTGCAGACACCACCGATTTTGACACCTAACTCTGTTTCTAGAAGGCATGAAGGAAGAGACATCTGCTGATGATATGCAGAAGTCTCATTGTTTAGCTACTTTTTTAGCAGTAAGCTGATCCACGCAAGTATTGTGTAATGTAAGCTAATCTTACCTTGAGGCCATTACAATGTCAGTGCAGTCGTCGTCCTTACCTGGCTTTGATGCTTTCGATATTCCGAAGTCACTAATCTTAGGCTGTATTTTCAGCGTAAATTTTGGATTTTCATTAAAATTAAAGATGATATGACTGAAAAGTTGTGTGTGTATGACAGGTTAAGTGATGGAAAAAAACTGAAGTTTAGATCCAAACAGCCTTAGGCTGCGTTCTTTCGAAGGACATTGGGGAGAGATTGGGGAGACTGTGACTCGTTTTCCGCGCGCACGCTTCCCAAACTATTAAACGGTGCGTTTTTTTTAAAAATTTTCTATAGGAAAGTTGCTTTAAAAAATCATATTAGTCCATTTTTGAAATTTAAAATAGTTAATACTCACTTAATCATGCGCTAATGGCTCACCTCGTTTTACGTATCTCCCCGGTCTTCTCTATCTCCCTCTCTCAAACACATCAGGTCAGAATCCAATAATATGTTGCCTGCCTGGTTTCAAAATTCAAATCCCCATGAATAATATGTGGCTCATTGCTTGTGCAGATATTGAACTCCCTGCTTCTCACATTGCTTGTGTTTGAAAAGTGCTTAGACGAGTCCAATGGCGTCTCTGTTTCTATCTTACCTGTCGTTGTCAATGTGGGAAAATGCACAAATAAGTGAAAATGAACAGTAAGGGGAAGCCAATATGAACAACTTAATTTGTTCTCAGTTAAAACCGAGTAGATAAAGCTACTTGAAACATATTGTTACAAATGAATCCAAGCTTCCATTTGGCACATGTTCTAAGACTATCCATTTGTAGGGAGTTACCTGAAGAAGTAATTAAATGTAATAGCCGCTGCCGCATCTGATTCGTTGTTTGGACTTTGGACCAGTATCTAAGTTGTTGAATTTCCATGACAGGGAGAACTCCATATCCCAAACATTTTGTAACCGCAATCATGCGGGACTAGCAAAAACTTGTGAAACACGCTACTCCTGCCAGGCACAAATCAAAAAACGCCCTGTCTTGTCAGCCGCATGCCCGCATTTCCACAAACACTCTCCGCTCGCGCTCGTCTCCCATCAATGCACACTGAAATGGCGATGAGGTCTACTGGACAAGAGACCGGACGCTTGTGAGCATTTCCACAAACACACTGCGCGCGCCACCAGGGTGTGGCCGGTGGGGATCGATCTTCTGCCTGCCGACTGCCAACTGCATGCGCGGCGAATTCACGGGACCTTGGTGCGGTTGACGCGGCTTGATATCGGAGAAGAAGAACATTTCGGATGCTAGTACGGTGGCGATCTCCGGGCTCTCCGGCCGCCGGCAACCATGGCTAGCTACTCTCACTCTTCTTACTTGACGACGTCTGATACAGAGAGACACTAATGAACTAGTATTTCTTCTGTTATTAGGCCGCACGCTTAAGTAACCGAGCTCAGTTACTATGCCTAGACAAACATCTTTTTTCCAATAAATCAACACGTCTTGCGACGGGTACATCGCCTATCACTGAAAGAATTATTAACCGTAAATACGAGCACTTTGGTGGGCTGGTTCCACCGCTTGGAACGTAACCAATTAAGCTCACTTCGTAAAGTGAAGACTGATTCTAACTTGGGCGCCGGAGAAGGGTGTACGGCGGAATGCCGGCGAATACAGCCTTCCGCCGAATACAGCCATTCAAAGATAGGTCGTGTTTAGTTCGTTGGCCAAAAGTTTTTTAAAGTATACGGACACACATTCAAAAGTATTAAACGTAGACTAATAACAAAACAAATTACAGATTCTGCCTGTAAACCGCGAGACGAATTTATTAAGCCTAATTAATTCGTCATTAGTAAATATTTACTGTAGCACCACATTGTCAAATCATGGCGCAATTAGGCTCAAAACATTCGTCTCGCAATTTACATGTAAACTGTGTAATTGGTTTTTTTTTCGTTCACATTTAATGCTCCATATATGTGTCTAAACATTTGATGTGATATTTTTGACTACAAATTTTTGAATCTAAACACACCCATAATTTGCTGCGGAAGCCACGCGGTTTTTTTCTGAGAGGTCAGTACCTTTCACTCCTCACTCCTCACGACCCATTGAGATTCCATAGCAGTTTCTGAGATTAAGATGCATAACCAACTGGGTATTAAGGCAAAATTTGTTCTATGACACCCTGTTAGCAACTTTTTTTTGACAAGAAGACAATCACGATCGCAACACCTAAACGCCTTGCAGTGATATGGAGTCACCAACCACCCCGATCTAGCCAAAGGGCCAAATCAAGATGGGTTTTGTAGAAAATAGAGCCGATTTAGATATCAAAATCAGCCTCTAGGCCGATTTAGATCGATATGAGGATAACTACCCATCTCGTGGGCAAACGGAAGGTTTACGGGACAAACCTACAAAGGGGTAATCGCACTCTCGCGACGACAGCGGACGATTTACGACGCAAATCGACAAAGATAGACTAAACTAGGGTAAAGTAGAAAACATAGCTGAAAAGTAAAAGGAATATTAAAAAAGCGATTCAAGTAGATTGTGTGTTGGTTGTTTACAATTGAACCGGCCTTGTCCCTTAAATAGGGGTTGGTCTTACCCTCTACAGGTCCTCCTCCACGTCCAACTCGGACTAGAAACTAATGGAAACCCGAAACATGCCTTCCCGAGTAAGGAAACCCGAGACCCGACGAAAACGGAGTCTGACTCGGACTCTGCTGGTCAGACTGGCTACATGCCGCCGGTCTGACCGGCCCTCTCTGGAGGAAACTGGCAGAGCCCCAAACTTTGGCAATTTTTCCTATTTCAATCCTATGTGCTAAATTTGGGTGTAAACACACCCAAAGTTACCAATTTTGCAATTTAAGTAAGCCTGATCACGATAGGAATACCAGTGAGCGGCTAGCTCTTGATTTTTTTTCTCTTCATTTTTGTACTGGATGTCTGGATATTTTTGCTGACCTATAGGGAAAAAAACAGTTGAGGACTTCTGGAGTATGAAAACGATAGAAATGAAGTCTTTCATTCATGGTTAGCTCTTAATTGGTCAAACTAATCATACACGAACATACAATGGGAATGAAGTCTTTCAGGAAATGAAGGGACAATTATACTCAGTGTTATTGTGTTAGGTCCTCACCTCTCACCATGGTGATGGACAGACTGGATATGGTCTTCTGAATTGTGTTAGGTCCTCACCTCTCACCATGGTGATGGACAGACTGGATATGGTCTTCTGAAAGAATAGCTGGATAGGAAAATAAGTAGCATATGGAAATTAAAAATTGCATTTGACTTAAAAAAAAAAGTTGCAAACATATCTTAGTCTCGTGACAACATGCCAATTGCAAGTTGATGACTGAATAGGGAATACAATGACTGGTTGCAAAAGTAAACCGAGATAGCGATGGAAGTAATGGAATTCTGTCCTTATATCCAGGATGTACATCAAGAGAAATCAAGAACTTGCAGCCCATCCCCAATTCCCCCCTCTCCTCTTGCTGTGAGCGTCGGATGGCGGAGGTGGCCGCAGTTGGCTGGGGCATATCTGCTGTAGGTTGGGTCGTCTCACCGATCATCACCAAGATCCTCAACAAAGGCTTCTCCTACCTCGGCTTTCATGGATCAGAGAAGCTGAAACAACTTCAGACTAAAGTTCTACAGCTGGAACTAGTGCTGGAAGCAGTTGAGGAGAGTCCTCACAGGGGCCGTTTGGAGGAATGGTTGCAGCAGCTTAGGTCGGCTGTCTATGAAGCTGAAGACATCTTGGATGATATTGAGTATCACCGTCTTGAAAGGCAGATCTCATCTCAGCCTGATGACAATTTGGAGTCAAACGGCAGGCCTCCTCGTAGGAGGAATTTGGTGTAGATGCTCCAGTCTGCCCTACCGAAGAGCGTCCGCATAAAAAACCAGGTATTACTGTCCTGCTTGAGACCCTCTGAAGTCTGAAGGTGAACTTTGTTGTCATAATATGCCAATATGTTTTGCCTGCTATTATTGCTCTTCTATTTCTTATCTAACTGTTGGTTGTATCATAATACTAAAGCTTTGTAATCTTTTACACCCTGGAAAGGAAACCCTTTTGTAATTGAGCATTTTTCTCATCCTTGAGGAGATACCATGAGGTATTATAAGGTACGAGGTACCATGAGGTACCGATCTAATCTAACCGTTGATTTAGAAAGGGTACGATCGGACTAAACAAATTTAGGGCGGCGCTAATCACCACCCATCTCAGCCTCTCAGCCAATAGCATCTCCGTGCCGCATCGAATCCGCCGCGGCCGCCGTCGCATCGCAGCTAGTCCGCCGCGGCTGATGTCACATCGAGGCCGCCGCAGCTGACGTTGCATCGAGGCCGCCGCGGCCGCGCGTCGCATCAAGACCGGGGCATCCCGTCGCATCGAGGCCGCCGCGGCCGCCGTCGCATCAAGACCAGCGCATCCCGTCGTCGCATCCACCTCGAAGACTCCGGCGTCGCTTCCACCCCGCTGCTGCTGTGGACTCCGTTCTTCCTGCGTCTCTGGCGCAGACCAGCCATCGTCGTTTCTCTTGCTGCTCCTGACGGCCTGAACTGGACCATCGTCGTTTCTCTTGCTGCTCCTGCCCAGCGATTCGTTTTCTCCCGCGAACAGAGAAGGAAGAGATGCCGATACAACGCGAAAGTACAAAACTACCCCCCACCCACGGTACCACTCCATTGGGAAGGTGCGGTACCATGAGGTACCGACGTTTTTTTTACTGTTGGATGATGTCAGATCAACGGTCACGATTTAGTACGGCACAGTCTCAACGACAGTAAAAAATCTCTTTGTAATTTACTCAACACCAGAAATCTTTTCATATTCTGTTCGATAAAGATTTCCTTGCAAGGGCTACAGTATTTTGTTGATATGACAAATTCATCCATAATTGTACTGCGCCTATAAGAACTCTGAACCTATGTGCTATAACTCCAAAGGGTGACTCCTAGAACACACAACATTCTTAGTATAACTGAACTTATAGATTTCCTTTGTAGTATTCACTGGAATGAGTCTTTTTTTTTCTTTCACACAGGGTAATCAGAAAGAAAAAAGAATTTTGTTGAACTGAATCATAACATTAAATATACAAAACAGGATATTCTTTTCCAGTGCAGGTTTCCTTTCTGTCAAACTAAAACATACAATTGGTGCAGCAAAACAATATTCCTCTTCAGTACATCTATGCATGCTTGTATCAATATCTGTGGCTGCTGCAGAGTAGCTTGCCACTAGTGCACGTCGCCTCACTGTGTTCTTGTTTCCTGCAACCACCGCCACCGGAGATACCAACTTCCTAGGAAAAAAATATGTACAAATTCAAGCTATCTGTAACAATCCATCACTGGAGACTCAACTTGAAGGAGATAGGGTACCAAAGACCTAATGCACAATGCATTTTAGCAGTCGTTCTTGGAGGGAACTGCGGAAGTTCTATTTTCTTCAACGAATCCTTATCTTTTTATATAAACTAGCATGGTGGCCCGCGCAAATTGCGCGGTTAGCATTATTATATTTTTTTATATTATTTATTTTTATTTCTGAATTTTTATATTATATTTTATATACGTGTTAGTTATTAATTATTTTTAATATCAAATTTTAGTTATTTGTAAATTATATATATTCCTATATAGACTCTAGACTCGTCTTTTAATATTTCTTTTTTTAATTTCGAATTTTCTGTAAATTGTATTTCTATATAGACTTTAGGCTCTTCTTCCAATATTATTTATTTTTATTTCTGAATTTTTATTATTTCTAATTGTATTTCTATGTGGACTCGAAACTCATCTTTCAATATTCTTTAATTTTTAATTTCGAATTTCAGTTACTTTTAAATTGTATTCCTATATATGTATTCCTATATTGACCTTAAACTCTTCTTCCCATGTTTTTCTTAATTTTGAATTTTATAGTTATTTGTAAATTGTATTTTTATACGGACTCTAAACTCTACTTTTATTTTATTATGTTTATTCCAAATTTAAGTTAGTTTTAAATTTCTATATGAACTCTATACTCTACTTCTAATAATCCTTATTTTTTAATTCCGAATTTCTATTTTTTTTTCTTAATTGTATTTCTATATGGACTCTATACTCTATTTCTAATATTCCTTATTTTTAACTCCAAATTTCTTTCATTTCCTAATTGTATTTCTATATGAACTATATACTCTACTTCTAATATTCCTTATTTTTAATTCCGAATTTCAGTTATTTCCTAATTGTATTTCTATATAGACTCTAGTCTCCTTTTCTAATATTCCTTATATTTTAATTCCGAATTTCAGTTATTTCCTAATTGTATTTCTATATGGACTCTAGTCTCCTCTTATAATATTCCTTATATTTTAATTCCGAATTTCAGTTATTTCCTAATTGTATTTCTATATGGACTCTAGTCTCCTCTTCTAATATTCCTTATTTTTTAATTCCGAATTTCACTATTTTTAAATTGTATTTCTATATGGACTTTGCTTTTTCTTTTTCTTCTTTTTCTCCGATTAATGTGAGAATTTCTAGGCCATGAGAGCGAACGTGGAGGCTTCTATATGAACTATATACTCTACTTCTAATATTCCTTATTTTTAATTCCGAATTTCAGTTATTTCCTAATTGTATTTCTATATAGACTCTATATACTCTACTTCTAATATTCCTTATTTTTAATTCCGAATTTCAGTTATTTCCTAATTGTATTTCTATATAGACTCTAGTCTCCTTTTCTAATATTCCTTATATTTTAATTCCGAATTTCAGTTATTTCCTAATTGTATTTCTATATGGACTCTAGTCTCCTCTTATAATATTCCTTATATTTTAATTCCGAATTTCAGTTATTTCCTAATTGTATTTCTATATGGACTCTAGTCTCCTCTTCTAATATTCCTTATTTTTTAATTCCGAATTTCACTATTTTTAAATTGTATTTCTATATGGACTTTGCTTTTTCTTTTTCTTCTTTTTCTCCGATTAATGTGAGAATTTCCAGGCCATGAGAGCGAACGTGGAGGCTCCTTTTTCTATTCCTTTAATTATATAACTAGCATGGAGGCCCGCGCAGATTGCGCGGCTAGCATCATTATATTTTCTCTCATATAATAGCATATATGTTTTCTCATTATATTATTAAAATATATTACAATGACAACATAATTTTAAATTTTGCAATAACTTTACGAAACTACTAATGTGTAATATTCATATTGTATTTTATATACGTGTTAGTTATTAATTATTTTTACTATCAAATTTTAGTTATCTATAAATTATATATATTCCTTTATGGACTCTAGACTCGTCTTTTATTTTTTTTTAATTCTAAATTTTTATTATTTCTAATTGTATTTCTATGTGGACTCTAAACTCATCTTTCAATATTCTTTAATTTTTAATTTCAAATTTCAGTTACTTCTAAATTGTATTCCTATATTGACTTTAAACTCTTCTTCCCATGTTTTTCTTAATTTCGAATTTTAGTTATTTGTAAATTGTATTTTTATACGGACTCTAAACTCTACTTTTAATTTTATCACATTTATTCCGAATTTTAGTTAGTTTCAAATTCATGTATGGACTCTATACTCTACTTCTAATATTCCTTATTTTTTAATTCCAAATTTCCTTTTTTTCTTCATTGTATTTCTATATGGACTCTATACTTTACTTCTAATATTCCTTATTTTTTAATTCCGAATTTCAGTTATTTTCTAATTGTATTTCTATATGGACTCTAGTCTTCTCTTTTAATATTCCTTATTTTTTAATTCCGAATTACAGCTATTTCCTAATTGTATTTCTATATGGACTCTAGTATCCTCTTTTAATATTCCTTATTTTTTAATTCCGAATTTCAGCTATTTCCTAATTGTATTTCTATATGAACTCTATACTCTACTTCTAATATTCCTTATTTTTAATTCCGACTTTCAGTTATTTCCTAATTGTATTTCTATATGGACTCTAGTCTCCTCTTCTAATATTTCTTATTTTTTAATTCCGAATTTCAACTATTTCTAAATTGTATTTCTATATGGACTCTAGTCTCCTCTTCTAATGTTCCTTAATTTTTAATTCCAAATTTCAGCTATTTCTAAATGTATTTCTATATGGACTCTGCTTTTTCTTTTTCTCCGATTAACGTGAGAATTTCTAGGCCATGAGAGCGAACGTGGAGGCTCCTTTTTCTATTCCTTTAATAATATAATAGATAGATTTACGCAAGTTATGTCAGTCCTTTTATGTGAGGGGGGTGGTGATGAATGATTGATGAGTTCCTGTAAAATACCATAAAAACCTGACCTGCTAATTTTGTTTTACAGCCTTCAGATGCTCCTCCTCCTAATATGTCAAAATTGGAGTTGAAGAAAATCCTAAAGAAGATAGAAAATATTATCAACGATGGACACAAAATTTTGCAGCTTCTGAATTTGCCAGGCCACAGTAATATCAACAAGAGACAAACTGTTTCTGACGATTCACGTATTGCAGTCACTACTGCATCTCCTCCATTTGTAGTAATTGGCCGAGATGAAGATCGTGATAAGATCTTAGTATTGCTTCATGAGACAGAAAATGATGGTCAACATGAACCCAGTCGTGCATTATCCCATTCCATCATTGGCATCCATGGCATTCCTGGGTCCGGGAAATCTACCCTTGCACAGTATGTTTGTGCCCATGAGAAAAGGGGCAGGCAAGAGAAAGAGGCTGGCCATTTCGACCTTATCATGTGGGTTCATGTTTCTAGGAATTTTAATGTGGATAAGATTTTCAGTAAGATGCTTGAAGAGGCTACAGGGAACTCTTGCCCTCAGTTCAATAGTCTTAACACCCTAGAGCAGAAGCTGGAACAGGCATTGAGTCGAAAACGGTTCCTTTTGGTACTAGATGATGTATGGTACAACAAGGATGACAGTCAGGAGGAGCTACAAAAGATTCTTTTTCCACTTAAGGTTGGGGCTTTAGGAAGTAAGATCCTACTAACTAGTCGAACTAGAGATGCATTATTAGCTTTGGGTGCTGCAAAATGTATTCCGATATCTGAATTGGATGACACTGTGTTCCTTGAACTTTTCATGCACTATGCTCTCGACAGTGCAGGCATAGATGAACGCGATCGGATGATATTCAGAGCTATAGGATCTGACATTGCAAAAAAGCTGAAGAGATCACCTCTGGCAGCCAGAACAGTTGGAGGGCAACTACACATGAGACCAACAATTGACTTTTGGCAAGATGCTCGAAATCAGAACCTCTTGAATGAGACAATGGGAGCTCTATGGTGGAGCTACCAGCACCTTGATCAGCAGGTAAGACGGTGCTTTGCTTACTGCAGTATTTTCCCCAGAAGACATCGGCTGGAACGCCATGAGTTAATTAACTTGTGGGTGGCAGAAGGGTTTATAACGACTACTGAAGTAGGATTAGAAATGGAGGCTGTTGGTAGAAAGTACTTTGAGGAATTGGTATCAGCCTCATTTCTGCAACTAGGAGAAAAACAAGCAGAAAGGTTTGGTGCCTCCGAATACTTCACGGTTCATGATCTGCTTCACGATTTAGCAGAGAAGGTTGCTAGAAATGATTGCTTCAAAGTTGAGAATGGCTGGACAGGAGATCTTCCTGGAGATGTTCGCCACCTTTATATCGAGAGTTATAATAAAACGATGATTACTGAAAAGGTTTTGAAAATGGGAAATTTACGCACTCTGATTATTTATAGTGGCAATACAGAAATACCAACTGAAGAAAAGATATTTGAAAGAATGTTCATGAGGCTGAGGAAGTTGCGGGTACTGAGCGTTAAAATCATCACAGGATCGCATGTGTTCTCATTCCCAGAATCTATTGGTCAACTGAGGCATCTACGCCATCTTTGTTTTCGGACAACCTTGATCAGACAAGTTTTACCAAACACAATTGCCAAGCTTCGCTATATGCATGTGCTAGATTTTGGTGTATGTGGAGATTTAGTGTTTCCCTCTGGCGAAGACATGAGTAATCTCATCAACTTGCAGCATATAATCGCCACGGCTGATCTGAATTGTCCAAACATCGGCATGCTAACGTCACTGCAAACATTACCATTGTTCCCAGTAAAGAAGGAACCAGGGTATGAATTACAGCAGCTGAGACACCTAAACAAGCTTCGTGGCAAGCTACATATCCACGGTCTTGGAAACGTTGGGAGCAAGGAGGAAGCTCTTGAAGCCAAATTAGATGGCAAGGAACGCCTGAAAGAACTGGTACTTGTCTGGGATGATGAGAGCTGCAGTCCAGAGGTTGAGGCAGAGGTGCTTGAGGGCCTTTGCCCACCATTGGAGCTTGAAAGACTAGAAATAACAGATTATCACGGTTCAAGCTACCCAGATTGGATGATCGGAGGTCACAAAGGCCCAAAGTACCTGCGCGAACTTGAGCTCAGTGGATGCAGCCGACTGGGACCTGCCCCTGAACTCTTTGAGTTTTTCATTCATCTCCGTTCACTCTGGCTTTGGAAAAGCAGCTGGAACTTCTTGCCAGATAATCTGGAGCAACTCATGTCACTCCATGAACTGAAGATGTATTTTTGCTTGAACATTCAGTCGCTTCCAAAGCTGCCCCGATCTCTTGAGGAGTTTGGATTGGGGGCCTGCGATGACGAGTTCATGAGGTCTTGCAAAACAATTGGGCATCCAAACTGGCACAAGATCCAGCATATTCCTAGAGTAACAATTGCTTTGGAATCTACTCATTCTCCCCATGGTAGCAGCAGCAGCAGCAGCATTCCCGTTTTGTATTTGAGTGGCTAAGCTCTTGATTGTTTCTTTCTCACTTTGTATTGGATATTTTTGCTGACCTATAGAAAAAGTTGGAGGCCTTCTCAAGTATGAAAACACAAAGAACAAGAAGCGTGTGGGTTGATTTGTTTTGAACTGAACTTTGAAAAAAACGCTGGACACTGGGGAAGGACCCAATGTCGAATTTATTAAGAAAGAGGGTGAGCGCGTCCGGCCGGAGTCGAACGCGGGTCGCGGAGAGCACAACGGCTGCACCATGCCATCTGCGCTACGCGCAGTCTCATGATGGATTGATGGATTGATGGTGATGATATGCTTGTGCACCACTGCACTGTGATGAGTAAACACCAACAGTATTTTATCCTTTGTGAATCGGACATATGATGGGAATGGAGTCTTTTAGGAAGTGATGAAGGGACAATTGTACTCAGTGTTACCGTGTTAGGTCCTCTCCTCTCACCACGATGTTAGGGACAGTTATATACGCTTTATATATATGGTTAAACTGGAGGACGTATGGTATATTTCACTGCTGTTTTGGAGTTTTAATTCTCCTCCTTTCAGTATTCTTTGTATCAACCAGTTAGTTTCTTTGCATTTCCAGTTGTTTGATTAGGCACATTGGGATGTATGGCAAAATAGCACCTGAACGAGGCGTGCTGTACATTGACAGTGTTGATAATGTTAGAAGCAAAGGAGGATGCTCTTCGAGCCAGGAAGGTTACCTGAAAAGATACGTCCGACGGTCGTTCGTTCTGGCATGCCGCGAGGAAGCTCCACGGCTGTGGCGTCGTGACCGCAGCGGACGCAGCCAGACACGGCGGTGTACCAGGTGGACGGGGTCCGGTCGGGCATTGCGTCGAACAGGTGGGGCGCGGCGGCCAGGGCATCCCCGTCGGCGGAAGTAGAAGGCGAAGCCGGTGCGCGGGAACTCGGCGACCGGCGAGGAGTGCGAGGGACCCGGGGAGGGCATGGCGCGGAGGCGGCAGTGGAGAGGCGGCGGCGGCGACAGTGAAGCAGTTAGCAGCAGCGGTCGTCAATGCGGCGGTTGGGGAAAGGAGGCAGCCGGCAAACATAAGCAAGCAGCGTCCATGAGATGAGAAGGCTAGCAAAACCTTCACTTCATCGGGTCTCGTTTGTTTCATCAGCCTCTCCGGGCTGGCCCAACAAAATAGTGCTCCCTCCGTTTTTCATATTATAAATCGTTTTAATTTTTTCTTCATTTTCTTAAAAAAAAAGTTAACAACATTTATAATGTTAAATTAGTTTCATTAAAACTAACATTAATATATTTGTTTTATGTTGAAAATATTGGTATATTTTTATATCAATTTGATTAAACTAAAAAAAAGTTTGACAAAAAAAAGTAAAAAGACTTATATAATATAAAATGGAGGGAGTATTAATTTGGATCTCAAGTGAAGTTAGTGGTCCAGTTTGACGCATTGGAAATTAGATAATTAGAATTTTCGTAAAAAATAAAGCTCTGGATCAAGTGAGGTCCAACAGTAACCACTACTACACAACCTGGTATCGTGGTCGGCTTATTTGGGGTGGAGTATTGTGATAGGTCAAATATGCTTCATTGAAGATTTGGCCTCATGACCGCACCATTACCAATGACTCCTCATAGGTGAAGTACTAAAATGCCTGCGAGTTTCTTTACCAGTTTGCTTTTTTTTTCTTTTTCTAGCGTTACACGCTTGCGGTGGGAGGAATGACAACTCCACTTTTTATAGTAGTAATGTAGAGATATCAATTTTATTTTTTATATGTAAAAAAACATAATTATTCATACATTGTCAAAAACTCTGCATATGCAATTGTACACAACCTAACCTGAACTCATGGATCCAACTGTCCCTGTCTAGACAACCACATTTTCAGCAGTGCCCGGTCAATCCACAATTCTAATTTTCTTCTGTGAAACGCTGTGCAGATGACCTTACCAAAAAACCAAGTGCCCAATATTAGAGAATGGTGTAGGTATTGGTAGGGTCCTCTTCGCTAAACATGTGCTGAAATGGCGGGAAATAGTAGTAGGTAGCGGCGGCGGTGGCAGCGGCGTCGAATGGGCCACCACCGGTAGTATCGCGGTAGCTTTCACCGGTGGTGAGCCCCTCAGCATACGGACAATAGCCATACCCGTTTGATGGTGGCTCCTGCAACAAGGTTGCGATGCTAGTGGCACCGTTCCTGAAGGTAAACTGATTCTTGTTGGAGCCTGCAATAGCTGCCACGTTGGTCACTCTTGCATTGTCACGCGTAGCACCGCTGGACCTGACTGTGAACTTGTCCTTGTTTGAGGCTGCAGAAGGTGCTACGTCGGTTACTCTTGCATTGCCACGTGTAGCGGCATCGGGCCTGACGGTGAACTTGTTCCTGTTGGAGGCTACAACCGGTGCCACGTTAGTCACTCCTGTATTGCCACGTGTAGCGGTGCCAAACCTCATGGTGAACTTATCTTTGTCGGAGTCGGAGGCTATAACAGGTGCCATGTCGGTCACTCTTGCATTGCCGCGTTTAGCTGTGCCGGACTTAACGGTAAACTTGTCCTTGTTGGAGGCTACAACAGTTACCACATCGGTCACTCCTACGTTACCACGTGGAGCAGCGCTAGACCTGCCGGTGAGGTGGTCCTTGCTGGAGGCAACAACAGCTGCCACGTTGGTGGCTCCTGCATTGCCATGTCCCACGTGTACAACAATGTTACATAACATTGGTGATGCTGGTTATTTTTTAACCAATATCTGATTTTTTTTTAAAATTAACGATAAACATAAAAGTACTTTAAGAACAAAACTGAAATGGAGGAGTATGCAAATTTCTTTGAACCTTGCACCATGTGGACACGGTGCTCGATGTGCTCGACGCGAGGCATGCCGATCCTAACCGTCACCGTCGTCTCCGTCTCCGTTCCGATTGTCGCCGGCGACGGCGGCGGCGGCGGCAGATCACAGGAGCGGAAGGCGTTCCGGTGGAGGAGGCCCTCGAGGCGGGTGATGAGGATGCGGTTGGCGACGCCGAGCTCGAGGAGGCAGCGGTCGATGTCGCCGTCGACCTCGTCGAACAGGCCGGCCATCCGGCCGCCGTCGATGAGGCTGCGCGGGCATCCGCTGTCCTGGCACGACGTCACAAGCTCCAGCGCGCGGTGGAGCGCGTCCTCCAGGACGGCCAGCAGCCTCCTCGTCGCCTCGTCGTCGTCGCCGGCCGCCGCCGCCGACGACGACTCTAGCTCCCGCAGCAGGTCGCCGATGCACTGCACGCGATTGGCGAGCTTCCGGCACCGGCTCACCGTCGACACCGCGCCGGCGATCTCCTGCGCGATCCTCACGATCGTCGACACGCTGCTCAGTGACTCCATATCCCTAAGTTACTTAATTAGCGTCTTCACTTTGCTTAAATGTGTTTATGCCACTGCATGGTTAAGAGCCTCATGCGATTATATGGTTGGCTAGCTAGACAGAGACGAACTAATTATCATCTCGCAAAAACTGTAATCAAGTAGTCAAGTGACTTAAAAAAAAAGGAAGTTGTCAAGTCACTCAAGCCACACGTAGTGATCCAGTCATCTTGAATTACTACGAGATAACAGCTGATGCAGGAGGGCAGAGAGGCAGTAGACGAAAACGTCAAAAACAAGCTAGCCGCGAAGCATACAATACACCTATATGTGTGATCGAGCATGCTTACGTCATGGTGGTTGCGTAAGCTGAAAAAAGGATATTTGGCTCGACATTTCGCCACCATTAAATATGTTACTTCCCGTGTAAAAATATAAGCATTTATTTTAACTTAGTATGTTCTAATTAACTAGTAATATCTTTGTTTCCTAATAGATGACACCAGCGACTTTTGATATAACATTTTACCATTCTTCTTTATTTAAAATTTTAATGAAAATAAAAACGATATAAGTTATGTGTAAGGTTTTTTAATTGTAAAACAGCCACAATAAAACAAATACCATAATACTTATTATTTTAAATAAAATAAAATGACCAAACGACATGCCAAAAGTTAAAACTTATGGCGTTTCTGATTAATTGAAGTGTTGGGAGGCTAACACAACTAGCACAACACACATGCATGCAACGGCATAACTGAATGATGATTGATGAGTGAGGTTTACTGCTTGTATAATTATCACAAATAGTAATTACTCCACCTTTCTATAAATAGCATTTAAATTTTGTATTACAATATAAACGTTTTTGCACTGATTATCATGATTTTAAGTACTCCAATAATTTCAAACCTAGCTAGTTGCATATTGGATGCTTCGAAAAGAATCTAAACAATTCAAACTTCTAAAATTGACAAGTGAAAGGATATATCAGAGAATCTTTTGACTAAGAACCTTAGTGTTAGCTAAATAACGTAGAAATCCTTATGTTTTGAAACGGAGGAAGTAGTATATACTCCAATGGAGTGTCAGCAATGGCGTCATTGATCAACCGAAGAAATAAAACATTTTTCAGCAGAGTAGTTAGTAGTTGTTATATGTTACCTGTAGAAGGAAAGAACATAATTTCGTGGTGGGTAATGCAGTCCTGTAGTCCATGCGCACATTGTGCTGCCGCGTGGAATACCACGACTATCACTGTCATAGTGTCATGCATACTTAGTTTGGATTACATTAGTCATTAGTTGATGTTGATCTGATGATGGGCTTGTTAATTACACATGCATATGCTTCTGAAATTCAGACAGCGACAGCTTTTGTTCAGTTTAATGCATAAGAATTTGCCATGTACGTGCTCCATCAGTCGTTGTCTTGCCTGATCAGGTAAAAAATAGAAATGCTGGAAGGAGCAAATTTATAGTTCTTGAGAAGGTATCATAAAATACCACCTTTTCTATTATATTTTACGCTAAAGTTTTAATACCTAATGGTACCTCCTAAAAGACTATAAAATTGCTCTGCTGGAAAACGAGAGAAGAGAAAGGGGAATTACTAACGCATCGATCGGCCTGTCCAAGTATCCTCACGCGGAGATGGGATGGACGACATATCTCCACTTCTCCAGTGTGGCATTTCGTCGAGCATGTGGAGCGCAGCCACCACTCGCCCACGGGAATGTCAGATGCCGCAGTCATTTCAACAAGCATCTACTCCCTCCGCCCCGTAAAAAATCAACCTAATAGTGGATGGAGCATTACCAATATTCGTTATATATTAGATAGTGTCTTGGTTGGTTTTTTATGGGACAAAGGGAGTACTACGCACACCTCCCCTGGATGACTGGACGGTTGGTCTGCTCCAGCCGGCTGGCCGGCCGCCGGCCACAGGCGGAGCTCCCCGACGCATCAGCCACTGGATGCCCCTGAAAGTTTCAGCCAAAGCCTCCATGAATCAAAATCCCCAACCGAGGAGCGTAGAGATCCTTAGTGCGCCGGTAGCATTTGCAACCGTGCTCAAAGCTACGCCTTCAACAGTGGCCGCCACCAGCTATGCATCCCTGGCGCCCTACACATCAACCGTCGCTAACCATAGCCACTGGCGAGAGGCGCCACGGCGAGAGCAAGACTGTGAGAGAGGGAAATGCTAGCGATTGAAAAGAAAAAGATGGCTTTTCCCGCAAAATCACTGGAGGCCCTTCTTAAGTGGCCTGCTACACCCATGTATCTCAAATCGGATCGGCAAGAAGGATTAAGTCCACTTGTCAGTCCCAGCTGACTCAGTTGGTTGGACCATGTTAACAAGCCGCGCTAGCGAAAATCGCCCACAAAACCATCGGAAGAGGGGAGCGGATTTTGATCCCTCGAGGGAATATCACATGCTAATACATCTTCTCATTTTTTTAAAAAAAATTTCATAACCATTTGAGTGACATGCAAACAATGAAGAGACATCCCCTCAAGGGATCAAAACAATTTCCCTCGGAAGAGTCATTTTACACCAGCTTCAATAGCTAGAAGGTCAAAATATCTGGTATAGCGGTTGAGGATACAAATCAGATTAGAGTATATTTGAGGGAGTCAAAGTGGACTCACTGATTTGCAGATTTTATATGTGGGCTGGCCCATTACAAGCAGCTAATTAAGCCTATTCGTTAGGCTGGGCTGGAGGCTATTCGTCTCCATTAGAAGTAGAACACGGGAGACTCGACCACGGCGGCGCCGGCGGCGATGGAGGAGCTGATAGCGGAAGCGGGGGCAGCTCCGACTAGCTCCTCGGCCTCATCGACCAGACGATCACTCCTGTCAGGGCAGGAGCGCGGCTGGTGATGGTCGGGCGGCAGGCTGAGACAAGTTCAGAAATGTTGAGAGAATTCAGAGCAAAAAACAATGCCTGTTTTGGACATGTCTGAAAAAGAACTATAAAATCGGACTAGAAGTATGATTCTAACTAGCAATTCCAGTGGAAAGAAAATTTTGGATAGCCTCACTACACAAAGACCGCAGTGAAACTTGTTTACAATCTCATCATGTATTAATCCCATACATTAATTTGTCTATATCATATCATATCCTTCACCAGGGAGCTAGGATGCCAAATTTTTTTAGATAACAGATTGTATTAACCCGGCCTCTACATCTCGGGAAGGTGTAACAGCACTACAGCAGTATTATGATCTATAAATCATGCATCCGTGAAGATGCCCAGACCATGCTACTCATCATCGCAACGGACGAGCTCCAGCGCCGCCTGGAGTCTGGTCACGACGTCCGACATGGCCGGCCGGTCGTCCCCATTCTCTTGCAGGCAGTGCGCTGCCGTGCGTGCCACCAGGTCCGCCGCCTCGAGCTGCCTTGGCGTTGGCTCCTCCGCCGGCCGCCTATCCAGCAGATGGAGCACCTGCCCCGCATCGATGAGTGGCAGCGCGTGGTTAACCAAAGAATCCATGGGGCTATCGCCATCGCCATCGCCATGATCCTCCTTCCAGCGGCAAATTGCCCTCCTGCCTGACAATACTTCCAGCATCACAACGCCAAAATTATAGACGTCGCTCGCTGGCTTCAGAGTTCTTGTGCGTACAAACTCCGGGTCAAGATATCCCAACGTGCCACGGACGCAAATGTCAACACACTCCGCCTCGTCGCAGCTAACCGCTATGTCAAAGCTCGACAAGCGCGGTGACCAGCTGGAGTCAAGCAGGATGTTGGACGATTTGATGTCACAGTGGATAACCGCCGGCGTGGCGTATGAGTGCAGGTACTCAATGGCGCGTGACACGCCCAGCAGTATCTCAATGCGCGTCTTCCAGGACGCCGTCACCGGTGAGAAGGATGATGTGGATGGACCATGAAGGTGGTCGAAAAGCGAGCCGTTCTCCATATACTCGAAGACGAGCAGCCGTTTCTCCACCATGTTCTTTTTCTGGAACAATGACCAGTGTTCCTCCTCCTCCATCACGCAGCAGCCAACCAGGCGGATAATATGCTTGTGGTGAAGGAGGGACTGGATTGTAACCTCTGCACGAAATGCCTCCATCCCCCGAGCACTAGAGTCCACCTTTTTGCGTTCGATGGCCACCTCCCGCCCGTCAGGAAGCATTCCCCTGTACACATTGCTGAAGCTGCCTTCACCGATCTCTCTGTCAAGAGCGAAGTCCATGGTCGCCTTTGCGAGCTCTGACAAACTGAACAACTCGATCGCGCGGGGCACTACATGTGCTTTCACTGCATCTGCAGCCTACATGATAGAGGTACAAAACAGAGATACATGGTAATTAAAGGAGTGAAACTAGAGCAATTCAATTTTGGAGGCATCCTTAGCAAGGGGAATCCAAATTCTACCTTTTTCGAGGATATTACATCATGCCACCAAGATCTTGATTTCCTAACCGACGATGTTTGCACTGCATCCTGGTGACCTGAGCAAGAAAGTCGATTACATCATACCACGTTCGCTCTCACAGCATATAAATTACCACATTAATTATGATGGGACCAAATTATAACATTGTAGATTGATAACAATGGTTATATATATACAAAGTACAATGATAGTATATATATAGAAGAGAAAATTCCCTCAACCCTGAGTTTTCCTCATTTCCTTGCATACCCCTAAATTTTAGTTTGAATCTCTTCTATACTCTTTTCATTAGTTACATTTTATCGTAAATAATATCTCACATAACAAACTCATAAATAAATAAAAGTCTCATACAAAAAATTTCTATACTCCAATAATATACTACATAAATATATAGTTTCTTCACACCAAAGGGTACAATGGACTTTTCCATAAGAATTTAATGGTCAACTACTGGAAAGGGTGCGGAAGGGATCCAAACTAAAATTTGGGGTATGCAAAAGTGAATGAGCGCAGGGAAGGATTAGACAAAGTTTAGGGGTACACAGGAAATCTTCTCTCTATATAGAAACAGAAGAATTGACTTGCATATTGATTCAAGTCCTTTAATATATATTGTACACGAAGTATAATTTAGGATTTCAGTTTCACCCAAAAAAAAGGATTTCAAAGTTGTACAACAAATCCACTTTAACTAGCTAGCCAGCGTAAATTGCGTGCAAAATCCCCTATTTTGATTGAAAGAAATACCTGCTTCATGACGTTCCACCTCATTAATAGATTGGGTTACTACTTCGCCTTTTTCAAACTCGTCATTGACCTCTTCAGCCCTGAAATGACATTGAATAGCAATTTGAGTGCTTTGCAGAAGTAATGATATGTTTCTCAGACTCATAAAATTAGAATATTACTGAACAACAACACAAAAATAAAAGAAATGGTCACCGGTTACTGAACCTGTTGAAATTATGCTTTGAGCAGCACATAACAAAACAATTCCCAAATAAATTACAGTGAATATAGCAATATATTCACACAAGAGTTGTTACTGTATAAAACTGTGGTCTTCCAAAGTATATGAATGCACTACCTTGAACTAAAATGACATGACAGCAAAATAATTCACTTGAAAAATAAATTATGAATGCACTAGATAATCAGGAAAACTATGGATGGCATTTTTAAAATATATGCATAAAACCACATAACAGGACATAACTGTCAAACATGGGAAACCGAAATAATATCCAGTTCGATTTACTGAACTAAGAGCACAGTCCAATACAGAACTGTACCCCAGCATAAAACTCCGAACAAATTGAATAGTACAGCCAACAAAAAGAATGTGTCGACATACAGGTAGCAAAACAAAAATCACATAGCTACTATCTGACCTAGCTTCAGGGTTTGAGTGGCTGGTCGATGATGATGCCGGTACATCTTGTGCATCCTGAAACAATATAATAAATCGTACATAATAAAGAAAGCGGGGTTCTAGAACAATGAACACAAAATACCAGAACTCATGATGTAGTCAAGTTTACTGGTAAATTGGAATAGATGCTGGACCATATATTACACTGTAGTTCTGGAAGCCTGCGATTGGAAACAGTGAACATGACGAAATATACCTGGGATGAGCATGTTGATAAAGCAGCACTGTTGGCAAGTTTTTCGAGACGACGGGTTAGGTCGGCATGGCTGATCATGGGGTAGAAACGGAGGTGCTTGCCGATCTTCTTTTTGATGCGACGGAACTGGTCTGCCTGCTTCCAACCCATGAAGAAACGGTACATGGTTGAGCAGTCCCTGCAGGAAGTGACAAGGGCATACGCCTCCTTAAGCGTCCCCTCCAGCCCACTGAGCACGTTCACGATCTCTTCCCGACACATCATCTCTGGGTCCTGCAACATCCGCAGGAGGTCGCGGATCAGCTGAATTTCCTGCACCAGCTCCTGGCAGGTCTCCTTGTTCCGGCAAACTGCCTGCGCCGCCTGCACGATCGTTGAGATGAGCCCCAGAGCGTCCACTCCTGTCAGCTGCGCAATAGTAGCCATTCGATCCATGCCTTCCCACTGTAAATGTGCCATAGCTTCACTGCTTTCTCACCTTTCAGCCAGCAGCTGCCTGCTCTCAATCAATTGCCAATTTCAAGTTTTTGCCTGCCAGGACAGGTAGTTAAATTGATGAGCATGAGATCAAACTACAATCAGAAAGATGAAAAAGCAATACTAAAAAGGAGTCAGGTGATCCAAGCATACACTGTCAAGACTCAAGAGAAGAGAAACAAAAAGAAACCACAGCATACTGCATACCTGAAATCAAGGTTTCACCACAGAACACCAGTTTGGGCGTTCAGTGGGCAGCAAGCAGTGTACTCGTGAAGACAAATGAAGAAGACTACGCCATAAGCCCCACCCCGTGGGTTTATGGAGCAGACAAAGGGAAGGATAAAGCAGAGTTGAGGTGATCACCGCGAAACACCCTGGAAGGTGGGTCGGAGGGAATTTAGTACATGTAGGTGCGTGACCAAGGACATGCTGCGCGTCAAGCCGTCATGATCGTCCTCGTCGGTCTGAGAATGCTGGAAAGCCGGAAGGGGCAGGGAAATTAAGGATCGAAAACGAAAGATGAGTAGTGACCAAAGGAGGGGAATTTACCGCCGTGACCGTTCATGTCGCCTCAGTGCCTCACGCGGGGTGGAAACCCTGTCTCTCCTGTGCAGACTTGCGGCGCGGCATTTCGACGAACATCTGGAGCGCATGCCAACGCGCGCCCCCACCCGGACGCGGACGATGATGGGTCCCACGGCGATTCCGACGAGCACACTACGTCGCTCTTCACAGTAGCAGTCTGCAAGGTGGTGTTGATACGGCACGCGGAGCTCGCCGGCGCATACGTCACCATACACCCAAGCCGCCGACGATGGCGACGGAAAGGCAAAAGCGCCATGGATGAATCGAGTCGTTTCGAGCTCTTGACTCTTGAGCCCGTCAATGGCGCCTTTAACGAGAAAAGTTTTTTTTTCAGTAGGAAGTCGGCCTGGGTCCGTTTCGCCAGGCAAAGGGATGTCCATTACTGACTGGGCTTTTGGCCCAGTTTGTAGTGGGCTCATCTCGCCAACCCAACCGAACATGCAGCCTTAAATTTGCTGGGTTGTGTTGCATTCCCTTTTTTCTTTTTCTGAAAACAGAAAAAAGAAGAAGAGAGAAAGTCGCCAAATCATCATCATTAAATAAAGTCATCAAGTATCAGGTAAATTCAAAATAGATAGTAGTATATGCCATTCCCTCCAAAAAAAAAAAAAAGGCAATATCCTTCAGCAGGGAGCAGTACGGTCTGGTTTGGTTTGTGACCTAAATTGGTTTTACCAATTTTTGGCAATGCTAAATTTTGATAAGTTTTGGTATGACTAATTTTGGGAAGGCAAGGTTGGGTTTGGATTGAAGCTAAAATAGCCTAAGTTAACTATTAAAATGGCTTATTTTCTTAGGGATGATAAAATTTGGCTTCAAACCAAATAAACACTAAACAGTATTGAAATTGGCAAATATTAGTAAACCAAATTTAGGTCTCAAAGCAAACCAGCTCAACATATCCAGGAACCACCTTGACGGATGAGAATATAATAGCACCAAATTAAGCTACCCACAAACTTATTTCGATTTGAATACAGAAGCAACAAACAACAGTGTACGGTTATGATTGATCTTCACATTCTGGCTACTCATTACCACTCACGAGCTCAACCGCCTCCTGGAGCTTGGCCACGACTTCCGACATGGCCGGCCGGTCCTTCCCCTCAAGCTGCACACAGCTTGCTGCCGTGTGTGCCACTAGTTCCGCCGCTTGGAGCTGCTTAGCCGTTGGCTCCGTCGCCAGTAGGCGCCTGTCCAGCAACTCCCATACTTCCCCCGCCTCGATCAGTGGCAGCGCGAAAAGAACTAAATGTTTATTCCCCTCCTGATCATTATCAACTGGCCTTCGACCAGTCAATACCTCCAGCATCACAATGCCGCATCGTTGGCTTCGGGTACATAGTAATTATCATGCACTCCGGGTCGATGTATCCGAGAGTGCCAGCCATGGGATAATCACTACCCTCTGTCTCATCGTCCCAGGTGATCGAACACCCGAAGTCTGACAAGCGCGTGACCCAGTTGGAGTCGAGCAGGATGTTAGACGGCTTGATGTCACGATGGATCACCGGCCGCGTAGGGTGGGTGTGCAGGTAATCGATGGCCCGACAAACGCCCAACAGTATCTCCAAGCGCATACTCCAAGACGTCGTCACCGGCGAGGACGACGACAACGAGCCATGGAGGTGTTTGTCCAGCGAGCTGTTCTTCATGTACTCGAAGACGAGGAGGAGACGCTTCATAGGCTGCAGGAGGACAACTTCCTTTTTCCAGCACCATATGGAGAGCTTAATCTTCCGCTTGTACTGGCGCTCCGTGCAGCAGCCAAAGAGACGGATGATGTGCTTGTGGCGGATGTGAGAGAGGATGGTGTGCTCTGTATTGAACTCCTCAATAGATCTCTGATAAAATTCGTCATGATCATAGTGAGTCACAAATGGATCGTACTTACTAGCATATATGGAAAGATCATCGTGAAACTGCTTGATGGCCACCTCCCGCCCGTCAGAAAGCCTTCCCATGTGCACATTGCCGACGCCGCCTCGACCGATTAGTCTGTCAGATGCAAAGTTGTTGGTCGCCGTCGCAAGCTCTGCAAAGGTGAATTTCTCGCCTTTTTCGCCATGGAATACCACCTCTTGAGCGGCCTCCTCTGCGAGCTCCTGGACAAACGCAGACAAGTTTTAAGTTTCTCTTCATTAATTTAAAGCATACAAGAATGTTAAGGTGTCCATTTAGCTGAAGCAGAAATGTGTGCCAGCTCATGAGTCCGGGAGCCTGTAGATGCAGATGGCACGGACGTGTCACTCGGAAGAAGAACTCTGTATATTCGATCAAGGCGCCGGGTAACACCGATGTAGCCGATGATGGGGATGACGAAGAGGAACGAGTCGATCCTGCTCTGAACTTCTCTGAATTTCTCAGCCTGTCGACCTGCCATTACCAACCGGTGCATCGCGTTCTTCTCCTGAAAAGAAATCACAAGCTCGTGGGCCTCCCGGAGCGTGTCGTCGAGCCCGACCAGCGGCCTCTGGATCTCCGGCCGCCGCATCACCTCCGGGTCCTGCAGGTGCGGCAGCAGCTCGGCGATCATGAAGACGCGGCGGGCGAGCTGCTCGCACTCCTTGTTCTGCTGAGCCGTCAACGCCGCCTTCATGATCACGGAGATTAGCCCGCCGACGTCCGCGCCAACCAGCTGCGCCACCGTCGTGGCCTGCCCCAGCCCGCCCCACAGCGCCATGGCAATCACCAAGCTCGAAAGGATTCGCTTTTGCTGCTTGTTGCTAGCTGGTAACAAGAAGAAACACGGATTGATAAGGGATTAGGGGCGAAAGAAGAGGGTATAGGTTGATGACGCTGGAATACTTGGTCATATGCAGAGTAGATGTATGGTTACGTGTTCTCCGCATGTGAGAAGTTTCTCAATGTCAATTTGTCAATCCTTACGACCAAGCACATTCGGCGGCGAAAGGGTACCTAGTTTATTGGTTGAAGTGATATGAGTAGTAGCACTAAAGATAATAAATTCAAATCTTCGTAGGAGCGAATTTTAGATTGAGTTGTTTGAGAAACTAAGTTCCCAATTTAAAAATGTTGCATATATCCGGTTGGATGTAGAGGTCAGGTACAAAAATATCTTTCTCTAAAAAAACAGATTTGGCGGTCTTTTCTAATAAAAAGCACATTCGGTGATTTCGGTCGGAACACGGAAGTACTCCCACCTCTTGGTACAATAAAAAACATAAAATTATTGCATAGAAAAACTATATTCAGTAACTTGGTATAAAATATTGCTCCATATGTTCAGTTAGTTGATATAAAGTAGTAACAATATGCAGGCTACTTGGAATCATAAAAGTCAGTGACTTCACTCAGAGCCATATTGTAAATAAAAAAAAAAAGAGGACGATTGACCTTCATCTCCGTTACTCTCTGGCCGTGTGTGAGTATAGATGGCTATATTACCCGAGACCCGAGGCTCGGTCCAAGGCACGCCATTTTGACTTGGCCTAAGCATGGCACGGCCTGACTGGGGTCGTGGTTGTGTCGGCCCGGCCCGACAGCCGGGCCGTGCCTGGGCTACAACCTTGGCACGATGGGCCGGCCCGGCATGGCACGATCGAAAAAATAGTATTGAGATGCAAAATAGACTTAAATAACCATATAGGGTAAGGCCTAAAGAGAAGAGGAATACAAAATAGACTTATTTTTCTAGCCATATGGACACAGCCCATAGAGTTGAGGGATGAAAAATAGACTTATTATGTGGAGAAGCACGATGGGCTATCGTGCCTATGGGCCGGCCCAGCATGATCCGAGTCGTATTGGACCATGCCTGGGCCATGTGTGCAGCCTGTGGGCTGGCATGGTACGGCCCGTTGTGTAGGTCGGACCGTGCTGGCCCGACTCATGCCTGGGCCTAGACTGTGCCATGCCGGGCGGTCTATATGGCCATCTATATGTGTGAGACGTGTGATCCCCGCAAGATCACGCTGCTATGTGAACAGGTAAGGACTTACTGTGAGCAGGTTTGAGTAAGTATAATACTCAAATCTGCTCATAGTTCATCACTTTTTGACGTGGAGGATAGAGAATAGATGAGACAGGGGTAGCAGCAGACGCTTAGCCAAGAGCCAGCACTGGCACAAGCTCATATAAAACACAGCCAATAGTGCTAATTAGTCAGTTACTCTCACCTATGACATTGGAGAAGAGAATAATGGTGGATCCTCTCTCTACAAAATAAAATGAATATGTAGTATTGAAGTATGTGTGCTTCTATTCATTTGATTATTTTATGATGACTTGGCATTGGCTTATATCTAGCTAATGTGTTTGTTATATATCAAACCTGCTCTTAAGGGGTGCACCTGGCGACAGCAGAGGGTGTTCTTTTTTCTTCTTTCTGCAAAATGGGTCCACCGCAGAGGGAGTTGAAAGGAGAGGGATTCTAATCATCCGGCTCCACTTCCATTTATTTATTACATGTTAATTAAATAGTAATAGCCTTTTTTAAATAATTGACAATATACATTAATAAATCACTCCACAAACATACAACATCAAACTTTTACTTCTACAAATTTAGTTTATTATTGTTGGTACATTTTATAGAATTTGAATTTATATTGCATAGTAACTTATCATGTTTTTATTTTTTATAATCATTTAGTTAACATGTAATAAATGAGTGGATGTTCATCGGCTTTCTAATATCAACTCGTCTATTCAGAGAATGTGAAAAAGCTTTATAACTTTTGGGATTAAACTGCCTGCGAATATTGCTAATATGTTTGGAAGTTGGCTAATGATTTACAACCTAAGCTAAAGTATCATATTTTTGTTGCAATTGTAGTTATGATGTGTCTTAATTGACTCCAAATTTAACTTATGTTTGGAGGTAATTTTCAAAGGAATGCATTGGACTCATCAATGATCTTTGTTGTTTAAGGAGGAGGATGGTGATATGATGAAGGAAAAGGTAACAAGCTGTTGAAAGCTAAAGTGATGCACTTCGTTGTGACGTTTGGTTGGAACTCGATCAAGGAGACTATAAGCGTAGCTTTGGTTCTTAGGCTTTGAGATGCTTGTTGTAAGAATTTTGAGGTTTGTTTTGTTAGGGGTTTGGGCCTAAGTGCTTTTTTGGTATTGGTTGAATGAACTCTGTGTAAGGGGTTTGGTATCTTTGTACTCTCTGATTGTTGTTGGCTATGTTCATATTGGTGTAGAGAGCTCGGGTTTTAATCCATTATTAAAAAAAAAGAAGGGGCAATATCAAAAAAGAAAGATATAGGAGGGGAAATTACCGCCGTGACCGTTCATACTGCCTCAGTGCCTCACGCAGGGTGGAATCCTGTGTCTCCTGTGCATTATTGCTTGGAGCGTGGCATTTCATCGAACATCTGGAGTGCAGGCATCCGCCCACCCCTTTCAGATGCGGGCCGTGATGGCACCACAGAAATTCCCACGAGCACACTACTTTGCGTTCCACAGTAAGTCTGGAAGGTGGTGTTGATACGGCAGGCGAAGCTCGCCGGCACATGCGTCACCAGACACCCAATTAAGTCGCCAACGACGGCAGCAGAATAGCAAAACCGCCATGGATGAATCGAATCAAAAACGAGAGGCGAGAGGAGTTTTGAGCTCTTGACTCTCTCGAACGCGTCAATGGCGGAATCGCTAATTTGCGCGCGCGCCAGCGGCGCGCGTTTCGGGCCCAGAAGGCCCAGCGCCGGCCCGCTGGCGCGCGCCGCCTCCTCCCATGCTTTTCTTTTCGTTTTTTTACCGATTTTTTTTCGTTTTTTCTTTCCACTTTTTTCTGATTATTATTTTTAATCTTTTTAGTATGTTTTGAGTTTGAAAGTTTTTAAATTTTGAGTTGTAAATTTTTCAAATTTGAATTTGAAAGTTTTTAAATCTCGACTTGAAAGTTTCCAAATCTTGATTTGAAAGTTTTTCAAAATTTTCAAATATATTTGAAAGTTTTCGAATCTCGAGTTGAAAGTTTTCAAATCTGGACTTGAAAGTTTTCGAATCTTGATTCTCGAGTTGAAAGTTTTCGAATCTGAGTTGAAAGTTTTCAAATCTCGAGTTAAAAGTTTTCAAATCTGAGTTGAAAGTTTTCAAATCTGAGTTGAAAGTTTTCAAAATTTGACTTTAAAATTTAAAACTTAAATCAAAAGTTTTCAAATCTAACTTAAAAATTTTCAATCTGCTAGTAAAAAAATCTCAAAAAAAATCTCCAGAATCTTTCCTATTTTGTATAATTAGTGTTAAGTATATATTAACTAATAGATATGGCTTAAGAGGGGGAGGGGAGTGCTCGCTAGCGGCGCTTATGCGCTAGCTAGGAGCCCCCCGTCAATGGTGCCTTTACAAGAAGGCCGGCCCAAGTCTGTTTTGTCTGGCAAAGGGATGTCAATTCTTCTCGTGGGCTTGTGGCCCATCAGCAGTTTCTCGTGGGCTCATATCGCCAACCCAACTGATAGGAGCATAGGCCGAAGGTGCAGCCTTAAATTTGCTGGGCTTCGTGCGATTTCTTTTTTTTTTTCTGAAAACAAGATAATAAACAGATAAGCATCATTACATTGTGTATGTACACAATAATAACCCCGTTGATGTAGAAACCAGGTTTTATAAACTTTCATTATCTAAAAAATTGTACACTATAATATACGTTCATATATCCAGCAACTAACTTGCATCGTATCGTACCAGAGCTATTTTTACATTGGAATTTGGAGGTACCAATGGTGTTACAATCAAATCACCACATTCTGAAGATGCGTACACAATCAAACAGAATACGATTTGTTCTGAAGTTGTAACAACTAACAACAGCCCTTCTCAAGCAACAAAAACACATTTTGCTCGCCAGGGTTTGGTTCTTGAAGTAGCAGCAACAGATAGGAAAAAATCGCACTATGAGCATTTAATAATATAGTCAACTATTAGTTTTAAAACTTAAAACATCATCGATAACCAACATAATAGTCCACTATTGTAAAAATATGCTCCCGCATTATTAATATCAAATTCACACATCTCTCTCGCATAGTTGATTGGAGCTCGTGCTACAGTTAGTTATAAATTGTAGCCTCTTTTCCTTTCTCTCTCCTCCATTCGAGCATAAATATAAGATGTGACAACTTGTATAATGCACTTATGTCACCTTATTGTACTCGCTCCTAGCTACTTCTAATTAATTAAGTACTACCCCTCCGTTTCAGGTTATAAGATTTTTTCGCATTAAATCTAGATAACATATAAAAGTCTTATAATATGAAACGGAGGAAGTATCGATAATCGATGCATCACCAGTTCACCACCCACCACGGGCGAGCGCCGCCTGCAGGTTGGCCACGACTTTCGAAATGGTCGGCCTATCCTTTCCTTCCAGCTGCACGCAGCGCACTGCCGTGTGCGCTACCAGTTCCAGTGCCTCAAAATTATCACGGTATAGAAGATCATTCGGATTCGGGCGCTTGTCAAACAACATCTGCAGCTGTTCCTTATTATTCGCCTTGATGCGTGGCACCGTGGCCTCAACCAAGTTGGTGGGTATACCGCCGCCGTCCGCCTTGGAATCAAACGCCTTGCGCATGTCCTCCTCCTTCCGATTAAAAACCGCCCTTCTTCCTGTAATCACCTCTAGCATCGTGACGCCGAAGCTGTACACGTCCATCGTCGGCTTCGCAACACATGTCATGTAGTACTCCGGGTCCATGTATCCGAACGTGCCGTAGACACGATTGGTCGGGCCATTATCATCGTTCGCCTCGTCCCAGATGAGCGACATGCCGAAGTCCGACAAGCGCGGTGCCCAGGCGGCGTCCAGGAGGATGTTGGACGGCTTGATGTCGCGGTGGATCACCGGCCACTGGGCGTAGCAGTGCAGGTACTCGACGGCCTGCGCCACGCCCAGCAGCGTCTTGATCCGCATATGCCAAGACGCTCTCAGCGGTGAGGAAGAGAATGATGGGTCATGCAGGTGGTCGTGAAGTGAGCCGTTCTTCAAGTACTCATAGACGAAAATGTGATCGACCTGGTTTTCTGCATTCCTACAAATTTAGACTTGTATGTTCGTATAATGTATTATATTATAATCTATCTTATTAAATTTTATGATTTGAGTCTCACTCCGGTGCTTTCTACTTGTAGTAGAAATTAATCCGAATCGTTAATCGTATTTAATCGTAGGATTGAGATCTAGTTCTACTCCCACCAGATTTTATAGGAGTAGAAATGTGGAGGGGTATATTTGTCCAAGGTGATAATTCGAGTATGGGTATTATCGTAATTTGTCTTTATCTAACTCTTCACTCTTTCTCTATCCTAATCGACGACGCCATTCCCCATCATCCCTCTCCGTCGCCGGTTCCCCTCCCTCGCCGCCTCCATCACCATCCATCTCCCTCGCCGCCTCCGTAACCTCCAGCGCCATCGGCATCTCCTTCCCCTCCAGCGCCATCGCCTCCCTCGGCCTCGCCGCCTTCTCTGCCTCCTCCGTCGCCGTCCGTCTTCCCCGTCCGCGTCGCCTTCTCCGCCCCCCTCCGTCGCTGTCTGCCTCCCCCACCCTCGCCTCCTCCATCGCCATCCGTATCCCCCGCCCGCGTCGCTTTCTCCGCCCCCCTCTGTCGCCGTCCGTCTCCCCCGCCCTCGCCGCCTTCTCCACTCCCTCCATCGACGTCCGTCTTCTGGCTTATTTATGCTCAAGCGTATGGAGCACTGGAATGGGGATCGGCTGGACAAAGGTTTTACACAGGAACAAATTGATGGGTTTAGAAGGAAGCGACAGTGGCAGTCTGATAGTTTACTCTTGTCAATGATATAAGATGACAGATGAGTAGTTGGACATTTAGATGATTTTAATCAAACTCTGGTATAGGATGTTTTTAATGAGTAGTTAGACTTATTTTTTTATTGTTCTTATTTATGACAATTGCAATCAACATACTGTTGCACATAAAGCTCTGATGCCCATCCAACCTGGTCTGGTCCTGTGATATGTCAAGGCAGAAAAGATGTTCTTGAGATATGTCAGAATATTTGTCCAAGGCAATCAGGCCAAACAGAACTGAGGGTAGCAATAATCTTCTGTTATTTGTCAAACAGCAGAGTTCTGGAGATAGGACGGAATCAGAAATCACCATGGATATATTTTCCTGGTCCATAAAGCAAAGCTACAGAATGGGGATTTCAGACCTTCAATGATCATCATGTCAGTGTCATCTTACTCTCAGGAATTGGCAAATAGCCATTCATGGATGGAGCAACACAGGAGTAGCTATGGCGTCGTACTCGCGACAGGAACAGATCGATCACACGAGTTAATTTAAAAGGAGAGGTTACATCGTTTTAAAATTATTCGCAACAATTCATTGACAAAAAGAATTTTGTAGAACCAAGGCTAATCACTAGCAGGCTATTACATTGTAGGACCCCCAAGCCATGTTCAAAAAGAATCTGGAAAAGAATAGTTCATTAGCTAGGTCTTTTGTTGTCCTGTCAGCAATTGAATCTGTACATGCTGTTGTATAGGTTAGTGACTTAAGAGATTCAAGTGCCCCATATGTTGAATATGTAGGAAGATCTAGACTTGGCAAAACATCCCCAAAAAATATTTGATGTATTGCAGCTGTATCTTGATCATTCTCGTGTGTAGAACAGCACATAAGCAGCAGGTGTCTTTATACTGTCTTCAGTTATAGGTCTCACGCACTCATCATCAAACTTGTACCATCCCTTCCCTTCTTCATGCTGCAGAAACCAACCAGCCTTGCTCATTATCAAGACATTGAAAAAGATAGTCTCAAGCTTATTTCTTGTGAATTGGGTGTACGAGAACCTTTTGAGATGAATGACCAGAACTTCCGGTAGCCTCCACAGATCTAATTTCTTCATCGCTTGTTGATGCTTTTTGCAGCATGGGCAGTACCTGAATGCAAAGCAGAGAAAAAAGTGGTCATCAGTTATGCAACAACAGTAACTTCCAATTCAGAATCCAAAGCAAGCCACGTATTGTGGTGATATTTTGCGAAGGTAATGTTTCCACATCATACATACGCACATCAACCTATTTTGGTTAACAAAAGAAATGAAGATTGCAAAGAAGGCTATTCAATAAGCAGTGAAGCCAAGAGCATAACAGCTGTTCCTAAGGGGCACTCACCACATTGTCTTCTGGGTCTAACTGTTCCACTTTTAGAAAGGCTTCCAGATAACCATGTAGTGCGACATAATCTTCATTTCCTTTCGGGATAAGCTCAAGCTTATGAATCTCAGATAGACTTTTCAGCATTGAGGTGTCATATTGTCCTACTGCATTTTGTAGCCAATGGACATTGATAAGTAGTCGATAATAAAAATGGTTTGCACCAAATGTGCTGATTCATAAAGTGGTCTGGATCTAAAGTACATGTGTTCATAATTAAGTAACAACTGAAAAACTAGCAAAAATATTTCTTATAGCACTAATATTTGCATCTAAAATACTAGTTTACTAGCATGTGCGCTCTCAGTGAAAGCAATAGCTGCATATTATGACAGACCTCACCTACGGTACAAGCACCAAATATAAGATATGTCGTTTATACATAATATCCAAAAGGAACACTACATACTTCAGGCTTATCGAGAAGAATTTAACCATGCATACACACAGCACCATAGCACAAGGTTAAGGCTAAATCAGAGAATACAACAACCAGATGCGGTGATGCGGTGCCTGCGAGTCGGGAGCTTTTGCGTCAGACCTGATGCTGGCAGCGCCGCCGGCCGCGCCGCCGCATTCGATGACTGATGCGGTGCCTGCGTCGGGGGCTGGGGGGATGGGGGGGCTTCGGGTCGGCAAGCCGCCGGTGGAGTAGATAGGAGGGCGGAGTGGCGGCGGAGGTGGGGGCCGGAGGAGGAGGTCCGCCGGCGATCCTGATCCGGAGCCGACAGCGATTTTCGCCGCGCCGCCGCCTGCGATGACCGAAGCGGTGCCTGCGTCGGGGGTGCAGGGGCGCGGGCGATATGCGTTTTGACGGACCTAAGGCGAAAAGATGAGAAAAAGAAATAATTGTTAGTGTGAACACAAAATATGATCTTGCGGCTAAACCTAAAGTCGGCAAAGAGATATTTTGTTTAGGGCGATCGCTACAGTGATCGATCTCTCATGAACATCCCTGATCGGGGGATAACCGCCATACCCAGTGTCGGTTCCCCCTGTGTGCAGTGGGTATAAAAAGAAATCAATACCTAAGTGCAAACCCTAAGACTCAATTGCTACCCGATCAACCGAAACCCACTGAGAACACAGGGAAGAACCGAAACACATCTCTCTCTGTGCTTCAAAACAAGAGAGAACGAGAGAAGAATAAAGACAGAGAAATGGGAACCCCTGGAGATCAAGGTATGACTCAATCCCATTTCAATTTGTAGTTTCACTTTGTGCCAAACCGATCCAAAGCATATCCAACAATGGTATCAGAGCACCGGGTTGGCCTCAAATTGGAACTCAATAAGTGTTCATGTTCAAATTGTTCTTCGTGTTCATGCCCAAATCCCTCTGTTAAAGTTGAGTTAAGCCCAAATCATGCAATCCCGAAGCATAAGAAATGGAATTAGGCCTTCTAGGGTTTCGGCTTGAAGAAATTAGAAGAAGGGGAAGCAAAAGTTCATGGAAATCTCAGACAAATCCCCAAAGAACCGAAACCCTAGCTACAGTAAGCCCCCAAAATTTCCCCAAATCATGAAACCCTAACCCTAAGATCATGGGGAAAAGAAGTGCGGCGGGCTTACCTAAGGGCATGGTGGCCGGCGGCGACCTCCGTGTCGCCACCGACGCAATAAAAGGCGAGCGCGCGCCCGAGGACTTGGTCCTAGAGCGGCCTCGCGACCCGCCGTGCCGGCCCGGCTCCTCCTCCTCGCCGACGCCGCCTCGCTGAGGTAGCTGTCACCGCCCCGTCTCGCTGTCGCCACCGCGGATCTTCCTCGTGCGAGCGACCGGCGGGTGCTTAGGGCACCGTCGAGCAACGCTCGACGGGGATGCGCGCCAGCTATGGCGGCACGCAGCCCCGGCGAGCAAGGCTCGGCGGCGCCATCACCACTCCCGCCGTGCGCCGTTTCACCGCTGTCGTCGTCTCGCTCACGGTCGCCGCGGGTGAGAGAGAGAGAGAGGAGGAGAAAATGGGGCTAGGGTTTCGCGCGGGGGCAGCCGCCGCGCCAGTTTTGTTCTGCGCGGGAGTGATCCCGGCCGTCCGATGAGATGGACGGCTCGGATCGGCTCACTCCCGACGCGGGCTGATGAGGCCGCGCGGGGAGACGGCGAATGCCGGCCCAGGCCCAGGTTGTTGGGCCTGGAGCCCAGGCGGGAGGCGGCTCAGCCGTAACGGGCCAGGCCCAATGCGGCCTGCCTCAGGGGAAGAAGGCCAAAAAAAAAAAAAAAAAACGGGCTGCATAGTAATGGGCCTAATTTAAAAGATTGGGCTGAGAATAATATTACAATTAAATTTTTTATTTTTTGAAGAATTATGATTATGATTATAATATTTGTGTTTAAACATTAAAGATATTTATTATGTCTTAGTTAATGATAATAAAGAATAATAAGTAATTTTGTTATGTGATAAAATTCTCTTTCATTTATTTATTTATTTATTTTATGATCATTACATTATATTTATTACTTAAAGTTATTATTGTTTTATGCATTATGAGTTTATTTCCGCTACAAATGAATATTATAATTAAGTGTGACAAATAATTGTCATTCTGGCCAAAGCTGATTGACTTTTATTTGATCACAAAATTTTATTAATTCAATTCAAATATGGCCAAAGCTGTTTTGATTGAATTAATAAAAGGAGTTTTAAACAAATTGATAAAGTGTGGTTTGTATTTATTATTCTGGCCAAAGCTGATTAATAAATACTTATTCACAAAAATTTTATTGTTCATTTCCTTCTCTGGCCAAAGCTGTTTTGGATTTGATCAATAAAAGAAGGTACTTATTTAGCTGCTGATTCTCTCTTATGCAGCATCTTATGCCTCACAAATTTCCGGAATAATGGGAAATATTGAACAACTTAATGGAAGTAATTATGCTTCATGGAAAGAAAAGCTGGAAATTACTCTAGCTCTGTTGGATATTGATTATGCCCTCCATAATGATCCTCCGGTTGAGCCTAGACCGGAAAATGAGAATTATGAGACCCTTAAAAGGATATATGATGAAGTAAAGGCAAAATGGGATATTTCAAACCGTAAATGCCTTATGATTATCAAGAGCTCCATTATTGACGCAATAAGAGGAGTAGTTCCAGATACTCAGACAGCCAGAGAATATCTTGCTAAAATTGAGGAGCAATTTAAAGGCTCTTCTAAGGTTTATGCCACCACTCTTATTAAAAGGTTGGTCAATGAAAGATATGATTTTACTGGAAATCTGAGGGAACATATTATGAAGAAATGTCACATGGCTTCTAAACTTAAATCAATGGAAATGGAAATCTCTGAAGGTTTTCTTGTCCATTTCATTATGTCATCTCTGCCTCAGGAGTTTTCTTCATTTACAATCAATTATAATGCAATGAAGATCAAGTGGGGCATTGATGAATTAATAGCCATGTGTGTACAAGAAGAGGAAAGGCTTAAGGCAGAAAGAGTTGACCATGCAAATCTATTTAAACACTCCGAGAAGAAAAAGTATAAGAAATTTAAGAAGGAGTATTTGAAGCATAAGCCTATTCAGTTTAAAGAAAAAGGGCAATCTTCGAGTCAATCCCAGCAGAATAAATCTGGAGGAAATCCCTATACAGAAGAAAAGGGAAAAGAAAAGGATGGGTGCTACTTTTGTGGAAAGAGTGGACACCGCCAAAAAGACTGTATTGGGTTTATGAGATGGCTTAGTAAGAAAGGTACTGATATTATTTCTTTTGTTGATGAATCCCTGAATATTGATTATGCCACCAATTCTTGGTGGATTGACTCAGGAGCGACATTTCATGTTGCAAATTCCTTGCAGGGATTCGCTATGAGGAGGACCCTAAAAAGAGGGGAAAGAAGAATTAGAGTTGCTAATGGAGTTGAAACTGAAGTTGAGGCTATTGGAGACTTCACTCTCACACTTCATACTGGCTTCAAACTTCAGCTGCATGATGTTCTTTATGTACCCTCTATGAAAAGAAACTTAGTTTCAGTTTCACGTTTAGATAACGATGGTTACTATTGTACTTTTGGAAACAATAGATGTATAATTATGCATGATAATAAAGAGGTTGGTCTCGCCGTTGGATGGGAACAACTTTATCAAATCTCTGTGTGCGATGCCACCTATAATGTTGACTCCTCCTCAAATGCAAATATCAGTACCAAACAAAAACATAACGATAATGAGACTTCTTCGAAATTATGGCACTATCGTTTGGGCCATATTTCGAGGGGGAGAATTGAGCGTCTCATTAAAGAAAACATTCTTTATCCTTTGGACTTCTCAGATGCAGATATTGATCACTGCATTGATTGCATCAAAGGAAAATATTCCAAGCAAATCAAGAAAGGTGCAAATCGAAGTATGGGAATTTTGGAAATTATCCACACAGACATCTGTGGTCCATTTAATGAAAAGTCAGTGGATGGATTTGATTCATTCATAACATTCACCGACGATTACTCTCGTTATGGATATATTTATCCAATCAAAGAAAGATCTGAGGCATTAGACAAATTTAAAATCTTCAAAGCAGAAGTTGAGAATCAACATGATCGAAAGATCAAAATTGTAAGATCTGACCGTGGTGGTGAATACTATGGTAGACATACTACTTATGGTCAAATTCCTGGACCTTTTGCGAGGTTCTTACAGGAAAGTGGCATTAAGGCCCAGTACTCAGCACCGGGCGAACCCCAGCAAAATGGAGTAGCTGAAAGGCGTAATCGCACTCTTATGGATATGGTACGAAGTATGTTAAGTCACTCCACTCTGCCGGTAAAGTTATGGATGGAAGCTCTTAAAACAGCTACACACATTCTTAACAGGATTCCCAGTAAATCAGTCCCTAAGACACCCTTTGAATTATGGACTGGGAAGAAACCAACCCTAAATTATTTTCATGTGTGGGGTTGTCCTGCTGAAGCACGAGTTTTCAATCCAAATATGGGAAAATTAGACCTCAAAACAATCAGTTGTCATTTTATCGGTTATCCTGATAAGTCAAAGGCATATAGATTCTACTGCCCAAATCAGTTTACAAAGTTCATTGAAACAAGACACGCTGTGTTCTTGGAAAATGACATAATCAAGGGGAGTATGACACCCAGAGAGGTTGTTCTGGAAGAGAAACGGAATTATGTTCCAATGCCTATAATTAAAGAACCCGTTTTCTCAACACATACTCATGTTACACCTTCAATAGAAAGACATAATGATGCAACACCTGCTGAAGCTCCTGCAACTACTTCTAGTAGTATATCAAATGATGAGAATAATGAGGATGCTCAGCAGCCCCAGATTGTGATAGATGAGCAAAATAACGAACCCGTCAGAAGATCACAACGAGTTAGAAAGTCAGCAATTCCAAGTGACTATATCACTTACATGAATGAAGAGGTGAATGAACCTATGAGTGAAGAGGTGAATGAGCCTATACTAGATAATGATCCCATCTCATTTAAAGAAGCAATGAAGGGCGAACATTCGTCTGAATGGCTAAAAGCTATGAAAGACGAAATGAAATCCATGAGTACAAATAAGGTCTGGGACTTAGTAGAAATTCCCGAAGGAGCCAAAACAGTTGGCTGCAAATGGGTCTATAAGACTAAACGTGACCCCAAGGGAAATATCAAAAGGTTCAAAGTAAGGCTTGTAGCAAAAGGATTTACGCAAAGAGAAGGGATTGATTATAATGAAACATTTTCTCCAGTGTCTACTAAGGATTCATTCAGAATTATTATGGCACTAGTTGCTCATTATGATTTGGAATTACACCAAATGGATGTTAAGACGGCATTCCTGAACGGTGATCTGTATGAAGATGTATACATGGCACAACCAGAAGGTTTTGTTATGAAAGGAAAAGAACATATGGGATGTTATCTAAAGAAATCGATTTATGGACTAAAGCAAGCATCAAGGCAGTGGTATCTAAAGTTTGACCAAATCATAAGACAATTTGGTTTTAAAGAAAATAAAAAGGATGACTGTATATACGCTAAGTTTAAAGAGAGTAAGTTCATCTTCCTAATATTATATGTTGATGACATACTCTTAGCCAGTAATAACAGAAATATGCTACTGGAAACAAAGAAATTTCTGGCCTCTAAGTTTGAAATGAAAGATCTCGGTGAAGCCACTTATGTGTTGGGTATAGAGATTTACCGAGACAGATCAAATGGTGTTTTGGGGTTATCTCAGAAAGCATATATAGAAAAGGTACTGAAGAAGTATAATATGCATAATTGTTCAGCCTCGCCTGCTCCTATAATGAAGGGTGATAAGTATGGAAAGTTCCAATGTCCTAAGAATGAGTATGAAGCTGCGCAGATGAAGTCAATACCATATGCTTCAGCTGTCGGAAGCATAATGTATGCACAAGTGTGCACTCGCCCAGATTTAGCTTTTGTTACCGGGATGCTTGGCAGATATCAATCTAATCCAAGTCTAGAACACTGGAAATTAGCTAAGAAGACCTTGCGTTATCTTCAAGGCACTAAAGACCTCATGCTCACATATAGAAAGTCTGAAAACCTTGAAGTTATTGGTTATTCAGACTCTGATCTTGCAGGGTGTGTTGATGATAAGAAATCCACGTCAGGTTATATATTCACCCTTGCAAGGGGAGCTGTATCGTGGAAGAGCTCCAAACAAAAGGTTACTGCATCGTCGACAATGCAGGCTGAGTATGTGGCATGTTATGAAGCTACTGGACAGGCAATATGGCTGAAAAACTTTATCCCAGGATTAAGAGTGGTCGACAGCATATCAAAACCACTCAAATTATACTGCGATAACAAACCAGCAGTATACTATGCGAGTAGCAACAAATCAAGTGCTTCTGCCAAGTACATTGATATCAAGTACCATGTTGTGAAAGAAATGATCCAAGATCAGACAATAAGCGTTGAGTATATGAACACTAAGTTGATGTTAGCGGATCCACTTACAAAAGACCTACCACCCGCTGTATTTAAAGAACATGTTGCCGGCATGGGTTTGGTAGAAAAGCCTTTGATCCTGGAATAAGTAGGAACCTATATGGCACTGACTCCCCATAAAACTAAGGCGGACTCATTTTGAAATTAAATGGGAACCATAGTCACTTGGTTCAGTGGTGCTTAATTGACTACTGTAATCTAGTGTCTTGATGTACTGTTTTATTAAAAAGTGAGTCCATAAGTTTGTATAAGCCTAATGTAATAAGTTCAAAGAGCTCGTAAGATTAAAGAAGTTTATTTTAAAATATAATAGTACGCTATAGTTACTGGATTCTGTGATACTTTATATTGGTCACTGTAATCTTTTGTCTTGGTATACTATTTTGTTGAGAAATGGACTTATAAGTTTAGCCTCACGATCAAGGGGGAGAATGTTAGTGTGAACACAAAATATGATCTTGCGGCTAAACCTAAAGTCGGCAAAGAGATATTTTGTTTAGGGCGATCGCTACAGTGATCGATCTCTCATGAACATCCCTGATCGGGGGATAACCGCCATACCCAGTGTCGGTTCCCCCTGTGTGCAGTGGGTATAAAAAGAAATCAATACCTAAGTGCAAACCCTAAGACTCAATTGCTACCCGATCAACCGAAACCCACTGAGAACACAGGGAAGAACCGAAACACATCTCTCTCTGTGCTTCAAAACAAGAGAGAACGAGAGAAGAATAAAGACAGAGAAATGGGAACCCCTGGAGATCAAGGTATGACTCAATCCCATTTCAATTTGTAGTTTCACTTTGTGCCAAACCGATCCAAAGCATATCCAACAATAATCCCATACCAAAATTATCCCTAAGCTGTATTAAAAGATTACTAACCTACCCTTTAAAATAAAGGGTCGAGATGAATTCTACTTGGAGTAGAATACTACAAGTAGAATGCACCGGAGCGTTGCCCTTATGATTTTTATATATAACTGTTAAAAAATACTTCCTCCATTTCATATTTTGTGTGTGTGGGTAGTGTTAGAAAGTCTTATAACCTGAAACGAAGGTAGTAGATATCTAAGGGATAGAAAAAATACCTTTCCTCTTCTTCCAGAATGGTTGCTGCCGATGCTGCTTCTTTCTCACGCTGACCCAGCCAAAGAGGCGAATGATGTGCTCGTGGCGAAGCGAGGGTAGCATGGTGGCCTCTCTCAGGGTGTCCTCCTCCATAGACGCGCTGTCGATGCGCTTGATGGCCACCTCCCGTCCGTCGGGAAGCCTAGTCATGTACACCGTGCTGAAGCCGCCTTTACCGATCTCTCTGTCGGGGGCGAAGTTGTTCGTCGCCGCAGCGAGCCCCGCCAAGTTTATCTTCTCACCAGCTTCCCCGCCATGGATTACCACGTCTTGAATGACCACCGCTTCATGATTCTGGGAGCCTGTAGATGGAGACGGCAGGGACGTCGGCTTCGGGTGATCACTTGGAATCATCTCTCTGTGGATTCGATCGAGACGGCGAGTGATGTCGATGTGGCTGATGAAGGGGAAGAGGAGGAGGTAGGAGTCGATTCTACGCTGGATATCTCTGAACTTTTCAGCTTGCCGCCCGGCTGCCACCAACTGGTACACCGTGCTCCTGCCCTGGCAGGAGGCGACGAGCTCGTGCGCCTCCCGGAGCATGCCTCCGAGCAGCATCAGCGGGCGCCGGACCTCCGGCCGCCGCATCACCGACGAGTCCTGCAGGTGCGGCAGCAGCTCGCCGATCATGAAGACGCGGCGGGCCAGCTGCTCGCACTCCCTCTTGTTCTGCCGAGCTGTCAACGCCGCGTGCATGATCATGGAGACCAGCCCTCCGACGTCCACTCCGACCAGCTGCGCCACCGTCGCCGTCTGCCCCAGCCCGCCCCACAGCGCCATGGCAATCTCCAAACTCTCTCAGCAAGAATTGCTCGTTAGCTAGTACTACTCTAGTGGAGTACCTAGTAGAATGATACTATCTCTGAAGAACGGACTGATCGGAGATGGACAAGAGAAAAAGGAAAGGAAGGAAAATTCTCTGCACTTATCCTCTGCCTTTTGCCAGTTTAATAAAGGTATTAAAAACTTTCTTTTTCAGAAAAGCTAATTCGAATCATCGTTTCGAAGCATTTCATCAGTTGTTTATTATTGCAGCTCCAATCAAAGCTAGTAGGATGGCAGACAAAATCATAGGGCGGTTCTGAGCCTGATGCAAGGAATATCACACGGAGACCACAGCCTTCGGAATGGATCATCATGGACACAATGCCACATTTTTCTGCTTGTTGGGTGAACGAGATGCTACACGCGACATGGTAGACCTTGGCATACAATGTTTTCTAGATATTGCAGTGACCTGAGAAACACCCCAAGATTCTGAGTTTAGATCTCTATAGGAGTGAAATTTTAAAAAATGCATTATTATGTTGCATTTATATCGAGACGAAGCCTATTATTATGTTGCATTTATATCTCAAGGTCCTGAGTTCAAATCTACATAGAAGCGAATTTCCTGAGTTCAAATCTCTATAGAAGCGAATTTCAAAAAAATACATTAGTATGTTACACTTATATTGAGACGAAGACATTTGAGAGCCAAGACTTGCACTGACGAAGGTATTTGAGAGTTAAGTTCGGTTGGATGCAAAGGCTAGGCAAAAAATACCCTTCTCTAAGAAAAAATACATTATTATGTTACACTTATATTGAGACGAAGGGAATATGTCCTACTGTCACATCATTCTCAGATGCGGCCATTAAGTTAGTATTAGGTATTGTAAAAGAACCCGGTTTCAATGGGAAACACTTTAACTCACCTAGTTGGACATCTACCCATTTGTTGCATGTCAACTAAATGGTTATAATTTTTTTCTAGAAAATTTGACAAGATAGATTGATATGCAATATGTCACCCCCACAAACATGCAATTTCAAATTTGATTTCTACAAATTGTAACAAAAGTATCAAATCAAACTCTGATGAGTATACCTATATTCACAGTTAAATTTGTTATTTTTGTTATAACTTATAAAAGTTGAATTTGAAGTTGCATGTTTGTGGCGTGATATATTTTATATCGATAATAGTTAATAGGTTGTGGAAGGCACGATCCAGTCTTGCCAGAACAGGTGATTCCTGTTTGTTGGACCAAGTGAACAAACGATCAAGTAGGGGGAGCTCGAGGAGCGAGAGCTGATCAATCACATCATTGAATCGAGCAGCAAGGGAGTGCCGGAAGTTATCATTATTCTTTTCATCGGGAGAACGAATCAGATTAAAGTCCCCAAAGAGCAGCCAGGGCCCCGAAACAAGAGGTTGCAAGGAGTTTAATTCAACGAAGAAGAGATCAGAGAGAGAGAGTGGTCTGAAGGAGCATAAATATTAGAAGCAGTGAAAGAGATGTCTGAAAGATTATACGAAAAAGAGATGGTCAAGGAATGGTGGCGAGAAACAAAGGAAGTTTTAGAGAGAACTGAACTATCCCAAGCGGAGATAACGCCCCCGCGCGATCCATACGATCCAATGAAGTGGTAACAATCCAAGAAAGCCGGCAGGAAAGAGCGAGCCTTAAGGGCATCGATATTAGCAAGCTTAGTCTCTTGCAGCATAATTAAAACAGGTCTTACAGAGCTAATAGTAGCAGACACAAGCTTACATTTGTCAGGCTCACCAAGGCCTCTAACATTCCAAGATAGGATAGAGATAGATCTTGACTGACTAGACATAACAACTTAGATAGGCACCATATATAAAGGTGGGGGGAGGGATCAAGCAGGAATTACAGCAGGGGAAAAGCAAAGCATCCCTGCACCCGCTAAGAGCATCAGTTGACAGCATGAGCAGCATCAGCTAGCACCTTGGAGAGCTGATCGAAATCACGTTCGCCCAGATCGCATGCCGCCGCAAGATCCATAAGAGCAGCAGGGGAGGTGCGAGTGTTCACATCTAGCAGTTTGTACTTAGTCACCGCCGGAGCGTGTCGCCGAGCCCGGCCAGCGACCGCCGGACCTCCGGCCGCCGCATCACCTCCGGGTCCTGCAGGTGCGGCAGCAGCTCGGCGATCATGAACACACGGCGGGCGAGCTGCTCGCACTCCTTCTTGTTCCGCTGAGCCGGCAACGCCGCCTGCATGATCATGGAGATGAGCCTGCCGACGTCTGCGCCGACCAGCTGCGCCACAGTCGCCGCCTGCCCCATCCCGCTCCACATCTCGCCGTGGCAATCTCAAAGAACTCGGAAGAACTGCGTGGATGCTACTTGCTAGCTAGTAGAAGGGAAGAAAGGAAAGGCAATTCCCAGAAAGTGGGTGGTAGTGGAGTGTGGTCTGATGAAGATTTGCGCTCATCCTCTCTGCTTTGGCAGATTAAAGGTGTTAAAGATTTCACTTTTTTTATCCGGTGCGATTATTTGATACCGATTAGTAGAACACGTTTAAATAAATTATACATGTAGCTAAGTACACTTCATGTGAAGTTATATGTGAGAAGAAGATTTTTTTTAGTAACAGTAAAATTCTCGGTGCTTCAATCCTAGCTTTTTTTTTTTCTAGCACAAAAACTACTCCCTCTGTCCCCTCTGTTCTGTAATATAGTACAGGGTAAGACATTATAATACTATGGATCTGAACAGATCTCCCATCTAAGTTAGGATGTGTCTCATTCCACGGTAGGTTATAATATTATGGAACGAATAGAGTAGTGTTTTTGAATGTGCTCAATTTACATGTTAATAAATAAAAAAAAATACTGTTGTAATTAATTTACCTTGCAGGGTAGAAAAAAACTACTCCGCTGTCCCAAAAAAAATCAAACTCTAGGGATGAATCAAATCGTTTGTTGCATACGTTGAATCAAATTGTTTCATCTAGCGATCTGACCGTGTTTCACTTTTATTTTAAGAATTAAACATTCTTTCGCTATTTGCTGAAACATTGTTTTTATATAAGGTAAAACAACATCTGATTTTTTGAAAACCGCTGTTTCATATGTTGTAGCAAAATGTTTCATGGGGTGAGTTGATTATGTTTCAGTTTTTTAAAAGACTGAAATATTTTCGATCTATTTAGTGAAACATATTCAATCTACCTGGTGATCCATTAATTCGTGTCGCCCATCGATCAAGTAAAGAAAGAAGTTGAAATCTTGTTTTAACTTACAAGCAAGACAACAGGAATCAGAATAGCTAACCAACTTTCAGTTGTTCACTCTGCTCGTCTTGGCTCGCCTGCTTGCTGCAAAGGTCCTCGTGGATGGAAGCTAACGACGCTAGCTATGTATAGTTTCATTGCAGTTACACTCAAGTTACTATATAATTATTACATTAGAGTTTTATATTTGGAAGCTTTTGAGAAAAAAAAAACTGTTGAAAGTTTTAGATAGACCCATTTGATTTCACAAATATATATAGGGCAACGCTCCGGTACATTCTACTGGTATTATTATACTACAAGTAGAATTAATCTCGACCTTTTATTTTAAAGGGTAGATTAGTAATCTAGTAATATATATTAGGGGTAATTTTGGTAGGAGCTGATTTATCTGTCTTGGATGGACGCAAACACCGCATCTCGCCCGACGCACGACCGTTGATCGCAAGTCCTCCCGGCAGGCGGCGGCACGGCGCGGCGAAACCAACCCCCCCCCCCACCCCCCCCTCCCCCCTATCTATCCGTCCCCCCTTACTCTCCTCTATTCCACGCCAGCATTCCGATTCACCGCCGTGGCCTTCCGCAGAGGAGCACGCCCTCTCCAGCGCCAGAGAACACCAGAGCTGTTGAAGTAGCACTTAATTTGTAGCCAACTAGAAGTAATTAACTAGTAGCACTAATAGTACTACTGGATTACTATATCACCATACTACCTCATGCACGTGCAGCATGCAGCTGTGACATGCTTGATCTGAAGTTTCTGAACTTCTATCTGAACCGGCCAGATTTTATTTTAGAAAATGGATTAAAACGGGGCCTCTACATATAAAACAGATGTACACAGCCAATCTGAACTGACTAAATGAGGTGCGAGATGCCAAAAGCGCAAGTATATCTCTCCATTATTCAGAGATGCAGATGAGGATGAGGTCCATGAGGAGGAGAGGATCCTGAATTCCTGATTCCTCCAGCCTCGGAGATTGATGCACGAGGTAGGCCACCATCGCCATCGCTATGCTTTGCTTGGCTGCAGGAATGTGCGCGACAGGAATCTCCGTCCTCCTCCTCCTCCTCCCCTGCGTCGTCAACTGTAGCACCCGTATTTTATGTGCTTTTATTTAAAAAAGTTTGTCATTTAAAAATTGGAGTTAATTTGGTTCTTAGTTGATTTTGTGCCAAAAGGATCTCAAATCCTATATTAGAATTTCCTTTCAAATTCCTGTGAAACTCTAGGTCAAATTCAAATTCAAATCCCTTCAAAATCTCCTCAAAATTCAACTCTATAAATCCCTGGGAAAAAGTGAAATGTCACTGTTCAATTGGGCCGCCTTCTTTTCTTTCTCTCGGCCCAGCTCCCCTCCACCTCTCCTCTCTTCTCCTCCCTGAGCAGGCCGGCCCAGCCCAGCCCAACTCCTATTCATCATCTTCCTCCTCAGACCAGCCAAGCATGCACACAAGGTGTTCGACGATATGTCGACCCAGGGCGCCGAGTCGTGGCAGCACCGCGTCGCACCTAGCCGCCCTCCCGTGCACCGCACGACGTGCCAACACCCGCGTCGCGCCACCCCCGAGCCACGCCAAAGCCGCTTCGCGCCAAACTCCACGAAAACCGCCGCGCCCTCTCCGGGAGACACGGAGCCACGTCGCCCCGCGTCACCCCCGTCTCGTCGCCGTTCCATCCCGAGCTCCCGCGGACGCACGTTCCTTCGCCATCGCCTCGTCGTCTTGTCGTCTGTCTCCTCCCGGGAAGCCGCCGAGCCGCGTCTCTCCCTCTCTCTCGCGTCGAGTCGCCACCGTCGCTCGCGTCACCCCTCTCTAGCCCTACCGCCCCAAATCCCGGCCGTAGCCGTCGTCGGCCGCGCGTCATCCATGTCCCGTCGCCGTTCCCGCTCTCCGCGCGTCACTTCGTGTCGCGTCGCCGTCGTTTCGCCGTCGCATTGCCACCGGGCATGACGCCACTCCGTCGCGTCGCCGTCCTATCCGTCCCAGGAATCCCGCCCTTAGCAGCTAGCCGCCTACCCCCGGCTTCCCCGCGCCTAGACTGCCAGCTCGCCGCCGCATCCCGCCAAGCGAGCTCCGCCTATAAAAGGGGACCCCAAGCCCAATTTTCTCCACACCATTGCCATCCCTCTCCATCTCTTTCTCCTCTCTCTTTCTCTCGTTCTTCTCTCCGAGCCGCCATCTCGAGCTGCCGGTCTTGCCCTCCTAGCGCCGCCGTCGCCAGCGAAGCACCGCCCGAGGTCGCCGCCGCCCCGGCCGCCGGGCGCCGAGCTTCACCTCGCCGCCGCGGCGCCTTGCCGCCCAAAGCCGAGCAGAGCGCGAGGAAGAGGGAGAAGAAGCCGAGCCGAGCCGAGTCTTCCAGCGCCGCCGTCGCCGCCTTGAGGTCGACCACGACTTCCGAGATGGCCGGCCGTTTCACCCAATCGTGCAGCAAGCAGCGCGCTGCCGTGCGCGCCACCATATCCGCCGCCCGGAGCTGCCTCCGCTTCGGCGTCGGCGTCAGGCGTTTGTCCAGAAGCTTCCGCGCCTTCCCCGACCTTATCACTGGCAGCGCCAAGTCCACCAAGCTCTCGGGGGCGAAACCCGTACACCCATCCTTCAGTACCACCGCTCGTTGAGACAGTGCCTTCCTCCCCGTCAACACCTCCAGCATCACGACGCCGACGCCGTAGACGTCGCTCGCCGGCCTGATCCGCCCCGTCGCGACGTACTCCGGGGCGGCGTAGCCGTGCGTGCCAACGACCGGCAACTCCGAGCTACACTCCCTCTCGTCCCAGGTGAGCGACAGGCCGAAGTCCGTCAGGCGCGGCGCCCACGCGTCGTCGAGCAGGATGTTGGACGGCTTGATGTCGCGGTGGATCACCGGCCGCCGCCGCTCGCCGTCCGAGGAGGAGGACTGCAGGTGCTCGACGGCCCGCGACACGCCCAGCAGTATCTCGACGCGCGTCCTCCACGACGTCGTCACCGGCGACGGCGACGACGACGGGGCACCGTGCAGGTGGTCGTCGAGCGTGCCGTTCTTCATGTACTCGTACACGACCAGGTGCTTCTCCCCCGCCGCGCACCAGCCCAGGAGGCGCACGATGTGGCAGTGGCGGATCGAGAGGAGCGAGAGCTCCGCCTGGAACTCCTCCTCGACTGCCAGAGATAGGTTGCTGTTGCCTACCAGCTGCTTGACGGCCACCTCCCGCCCGTCGGCAAGCCGTCCCTTGTACACCCTGGCTACTGGGTTTGTACCGATCTGTCTGTCTGTTGCAAAGTTGTTGGTCGCCGCAGCGAGCTCTGCCATGGTGAATCTCTCACCTTCCTAGGACACACAAGCATACAAACAAGTTTTTTCTTCATCAGAGCAAGCACTGGTATTAATTTCGGAAGAAGTCGAACAAAAATTTATGAGCAATTTTACAGTTTTTGAGAAGGTACAAAAAATTTAGTGTAAAATTGCTTAAAATTTATACCTCCTCAAGAACTATAAAATTGCTTAAAATTTGTAGTACCATCTCATGATTCGGGATTCCTGCAGATGCGGATGGCAGGGTCGTGTCATTTGGAAGAAGAACTCTGTAGATTCGATCGAGGCGGCGGGTGATGTCGATGTGGCTGATGAAGGGGAAGACGAGGAGGTACGAGTCGATCTTGCTCTGAACTTCTCTGAACCTCTCGGCCTGCCGCCATGCCATCACCAACCGGTAGGCCGCGGCCCTTCCCTGGCACGATGCCACGAGCTCGTGCGCCTCCCGGAGCGCATCGTCGAGCCCGGCGAGCGGCCGCCGGACCTCCGGCCGCCGCATCACCTCCGGGTCCTGCAGGTGCGGCAGCAGCTCGGCGATCATGAAGACGCGGCGGGCGAGTTGCTCGCACTCCTTGTTCTGTCGAGCCGTCATCGCCGCCTGCATGATGACGGAGATGAGGCTGCCGACGTCCGCCCCGACCAGCTGCGCCACCGTCGCCGCCTGCCCCAGCCCGCTCCACATGATCTCGCCGTGGCGATCTCCAAACTATTGAGCTGTCTACTTGTTGCTTGGTGGCAAGTGCAAACACGAATGGTGAGGTGAGGAAAATCACTGGAAGGTGGATTATTGGGATAGACTAATTAGTGTGGGACGTGAACGATGTCAAGCAGTTTTGTCTGACCGGGGAAAAGATTGGAAAATGGAAGAAGGCGACACAAGCAGGAGTCCGGTTTTGGGGACTGCCTATACATCATGTGACAGATTTTTTAGCCTCCTATCATGCAGATTTCTTTATCCTTTGAATCAACATCTAACGGATGATATTAATATACACAAACAAAATAGAAAAACAAACGGGCCACATGGATAATCTGAAGCTCATGTGGGCTCAAATGGGCTTAAGTAGATTTCAGACTTACATCGTAAATACACTAAAATTACAAATGTAATTTTCAGACTTACATCGTAAATACACTAAAATTACATATGTAATTATAGTGTAAGTATGATGTAATTAGTATGCGTGGGATCATACGATATTTTGTGAGCGAACTTCACGTTAAATAAGGGTAAAAAGAGTAACAGAAGGCCAGAAGGGTCTTATGGCCACATAAAGCCCAAAGGAGCCCAGTAATCCACAGACGGAACAAACTAGATGATACTAATCTAGGATTGCACCAATCTCAAAGAAAGATCAACGGCCTAAAAAGTGAATGATTCATCTATAAAAAATCTGTCAAAAGACATATAGCCTTCCCGTTTTGGGATTCACTTTCCCTTTAGAGTTGTTCGTTTAAGCATCCAAAGTATAGATGGTATTACGAGGAGTAATTGTAACGCTCCGCTTTTCGTGAGTCGTTAAAAACTATTTCGGCAAAATCCTAATTGCGAAAATTTTTGTTCTTTGTGTGCGAGTCTAGGTTGTGCCAAGGACCTCAATTCAAATCCCGTTGTTCCCTCTCATCGCCATCAAAATCGTCCACCTCAAGATTTCAAATCCGACTCAAGTCTCCGAAATTCAATCACATCCCTTGAATCCCCGCCAAATACCTATCCCCATTTCCGAAAATATCCAATCCCCATCTCGAATCATTTCCTTGAGTCTCCCTTGATTCATCCCTAAACCCTCGAGTTTGAATATAAAATTTGAATTCGAATCCAAACCCTAAATCTCTCCATTTCTCTCCAAATCAATCTCCTCCGAAAAAGTCTATTTTGCCTCCCTCGGATTTTTGTGGGCCGTTTTCTCCTCGGCCCATCTCCTCTCAGCCGCTCCTCCCCCTTCCCTTCGCACGTGCTGAGCAAGCGCGTCGTGCCCGAGCCAAGAGAGAGCGCCGCCCTCTCCCTCTCTCGCCCTCTCTGCTTTCTCCTCACCTCGGCGCCGATTCCCGCCGCCGCCGTTTGAATTCGCCGGCCGCCCTTCCCGCGCGCGCCTCGCCTGCCCGCCGCCCAAAACGGAAGGGAGAGGCTTCCCTTTCCACCGTCCTCCCTCACTTTTCCCTTCTAAACCCGGCCTCTCTCCTCTCGCCCTTGTCTTCTTGTGCGCGGAGGCAGAGGACGCCGACAACGTCCTGCCGCGCCTGTGCCCCACCTTGACCGCGCCACGCCGATGCTCCCGCGCGTGGCGCCGCTCATGGCCGACCGCTGTGGCCGCGCCACCGTCGCCCCTGCCGCGTCGACCGCCTTGGTCCGAGCTCGCCGCCAAACCAGCCCTCCTCCCTTTTCGCTGTCATCCGCTGCGTCACCATGGCCCCGCCTCCGCATGCCACAAGCCGCCAACGCGGCGACGCCAATCCCACGCGCCTCTCCAGCCTCGCCGCCCAAAAACGGAAGGAGCAAGGCTCCCTTTCCTCCTCCTCCTTTCGCTTTTCCCTTGCGGGCAAGGCCGTCTCGCTCTCTCCCTTGTCCTGGTGCGGGAGCGGACACAGGGCGCCGCTGACGCCACCTTTGCGCCCTGTCGCGCCCACGCCACCACCGCGACCATGCCAGCTCGCCGCTCCCACCTTGACCGCGCCAGCCCTGCGCTCCCGTGGTTCGAAATCGGCCGTCCGATCCACCGCCTTCGCCGCCCAGAGCATCCAAGCCGTCGCCGCTTTCGCATCGCCCACGAAACCGCCGCTGCCGCCAGCCGAGCGCTTGACCGCCAAGGTCGGTTCTCCCCCTCTAAACCGACATCGCCTCACCCCGCGCCTATAAAACCCGAAGCCGAGCTCCCCATCCCATCTCAATCCCTCCCACTTCACGCTCCTACTCCACCGCGCCATTGTCGCCCTTCCTCTGCTCTCGTCGTCGCCGTCCGCCGCCGAGCACCGGGAGACCGGTGCGTGCGAGGACGCGTGACGCGGGACTCCGGGCACCCTCCTTCCTCCCCTTCCTCGGCCCGCGGCCGGAGAGCTCGCTCCCGAGCCGTCGGCCGCTCGTCACTGCGCCCGTCTCGGCTTGGTAATGCCACCCTCCGTTCTCCCTTCTTGCTCGTCCTCTCCCTCCCTAGCTCGCGTGGTAGCTCGGCTAGCCCCCCGAACACGCATGGACACTGCCCCAGGTCTCGCCGCCGAACCGCCGCTCGTCGCCCTTGCACCGCGCGCTAGCTCGCCGGCCGCCATGCTCTGTCCCGGAGGCCGTCTCTCGTCGCCAGCCAACCTCGGTGCCGCTCCGTCCAATCCGACGCCGGGAATGGATTCCTTGAACCCCGGAGATGCTTCCACCGCCTCGAATTGAATCCTCGTCGCCCCTCCGCCGTTTGCCCTTTTTCTCACCGCCGGCGAGGGCCGCCGCGATTCGTCGTCGCCGGTCTCCTTTCCGTGAATCCGAGCCGGTGGCGCACTTTATCTCCTCCGTCTCTTTAATCCGGTGTGCTCCCTCCCTCTCGAATCGTCGTGACAAGCTCCGGTGAACTCGGCCGCCGTCCGCCGTCCATCTCGGCCTCCCCTTCTTCCTCCTCCCGCCGGCCCGTGTGGCTGCCACGTAGGCGCCACGTCGGAGCCACATCGGCCGCGACCGGGTCAGCACGACCAGCCTGCCGCCTCCCCCTCCCTCGACCGGTGCGCGCGGTCCACGGAGAGCCCTATGGCTGCGCGTGGGCCCGCCGCCTCTCGGTCCATCCGGCGCACCGCCCGTGCGCCATCTTCAATAAACCCTAGCGCCGCCCCCACGTGAACCCATTCCTCCATGAACCCAGCCGCCGACAGGTGGGCCCGTCCCGGGACCCCGCATGGTGGACCGCGGTCCACCCGGTCGGTCTCCTCCCCCTCCCACGCCCCATTGGGCCGCCCTCCTCGCGGCCGTGCCGGCCCATTAGGCTCGCCCGAGCTGCGCAAGTCCCTCGGGCCGCGCCAATGCCACCCGAGACAAGTCTGATTCACATCCTTCGTCCATTTCCTTTTTCCAAAGGATTTAATAAATCCTTTTCCTTTAGACAGAAAATCCAAATAATCTTAGGAAATCCATATCTCCTCAACCGCTCGTCCGATTGACTCCGTTCAACTTCCAGTAATTCCGTGAAATTGAGATCTATCTAATGGTACTATTATCTAGTCTAAATAGGATCTTTCTTTTGGTCTTTTGTTTAGGTTTTTGATTGTTTGCGTATAGTTGCGGTTACCGGATTTTCGTCGATCGCGGGTTTTCTTGAAGGTTCGTGAAGCTTCGTGAAGACCTTGAGCAAGGCAAGTCACCCTTTGATCAATTGCTCCTATAATTGAAAAGTCATTATTATTTTGTTTGCAACTTGCACTATTAGAATCACACACTTAACTTGCTTGGCCTCGGTTTGCGTGCCAAACCGACGGACCTACCCAGTAGTCGCACTAATTTCCGTAGGTCGTACTACCCTGATTCCTTGTCGCTCCACCCTTGTGGTACCTCGGTATTCGTGCTCTCTGAGCGCGTATACCAAATATCCCACATACACCGTTGTTTGTCGAAAACTTGGGAAAAGGGTTTGTGAAGCCTTCAAAACCCGACATGTGGTGTCGGTGTGTTTGAAAATAAAATGAATTGTGAAAACTCGCGATGCGGGGGTTGTGCCTATGTGGCACTGTCCCGTATTCGCATATAAGGACCGATTCCTGTGGGAAACTCATCGAACATAACCAAAGTGCAACCACAAGGTGGAATGGGACACCCTGGTTAAGTAACTAGACGGTTCAGGGAAACCTCGCATGCCAATAGTTGGGAACGCCGGGGCGGGGTCGGACAAACCGGGTTCCTGGTAAGGCAAGGACGAGAAGCTTGCTCACTTACCGATCAAGGTGGTTGGAGTTTGATTTGTGCACGCCTAAAATAGCCTATGTTTATGTGAGGATTTGATCCTTCTATGTGGCATGAGGTAACCCTGGGTCGGCTGGGGAAAGGCTTTGTTGCGAACCTCCGATACCGACGGGTGTTCGGAATAAGTTCGTATCTTGTGGGTAAAGTGTACCCCTCTGCAGAGGTTAACTAACTGTTCGAACAGCCGTGCCCACGGTCATGGGCGGATGTGAGGTGGTTCCCGTTGCGTAGATTTGTTTGCCTGTGCTTTGTGAAAAGTTGTTGTGGTGTGGGAATCGTAACCAGAATCAGCCTATGTGGCAGATGGACGACCTGAGTGGTCAGAAACGAATCTGTGTGATTCGGGATGTCTGCGGGCATCATAGACTAGGCTTCCCGAGTGGAAGCGGATTGTTGTGCTGCTGGGCAGCTGGGCTCTGGGAGTCCGAGAAAATGAAAAAGGCTCTGGGAGCCGATTAATCAAGTGGAATGGCTCTGGGAGCCGAGAAGTAATGATCTGACCCGGGAGGTCGGTACATTGCTAAATGAGCTGTTGAAAAGCATCTCTTAAAGTCGAATCGAGACGCAAGTCTCTTTTCGCCCAAACATAGAAAGAAATAAATCACTTAGTGATTTCAAAATGATTTCAAACAAAAGATTTGCAAAACAACCTTGCCTCTCTTCCAAGCTAGCATTAAACACCTAAGTTCCCGTGACTTGCTGAGTACAAAAGTACTCACCCTTGCTCTATAAATATATATATAGTTCCTCCGCCCTGAAGAGAAGATAAAGTGAAGTGAAGATTAGGGTTTCGTCCTGGTTCCCAGCCGTCGCCTGTGGTGTTGGGTGTTAGACCGTTGGTTCCGCTGCTGCTGCTGCTGTTGGTGTTTCCTCGTCCGCGTCGTTGGTTGTATTCTCGGGCTGTCTGAGCTGCAACCTAAGTTAAGGTAAATAAGTCCTCTATTTATTTTAAGGATTGCTATGATTCATATTTGTCACCGTGGGTACCAGCACTATGTCCTGGGACTGGTACCGAGATCGCGGTTTCGTAGGAAGCGGTTCGCGCCGTTTTCCCTACGACACGCTCCTATCAGGTGCCGTTGTACGGCGGTATCAGAATGGGGTGTGACAAGAGATGGTATCAGAGCATAGGTTGGCCCTAGGATCGAAACCC